CTATGTGGGCCTGTGTGCTTCTGCCCCAGTGCAGGTACCTCCTACCTCTACTCCAGAGTAGGCACCCAGAGCTGAGGTAAGAGTTGACTGTCCTCATCTAATCCTTCTTGACTTTGCCTACATTTAGTGACCCAGAGCTGAAGTGACAGCTGAATCACCTCTGTGGTCCCTCATTCCCCTCGGTGCCTATAGTCCTTTCCACTGTAGGCACCAAGATTTGTGCTTTCAGTTGACTGTCTTCACCTGGGCAGGTACCCAGTGTGAAGTGATAGTTGATGGTCCCCAGTTGAGTCCTTATGTCTCTACCAAGTCCCTCATTCTCCTTTGTGGTATAAATATCAGTATCTGGGCTTTCTGTTGATATTGTCACCTGGGTCCTAATGTCTGACTTGTGTAGCTACATAGAGCTGAGGTGACATTCCAGTGCCCTTATGTCTTCCCCAGTGTATCTCCCATCACTGAAGTGTTACCTGTGTGTTGTGTCTTGGGTCCTCGTGCTCTGCCTCAGGGTAGGAACCCAGATTTAAAGTAACAGTTGAATACCCTCATCTGTCGCTCATGCCTCTACCAGAGGTTAGGCATCAAGAGATGATGTGAGCCCTGTCCAGGTAGCTCTGTTGGTTAGAATGTCATCCCGACATGCCAAGGTTGCAGGTTCAATCTCCGATCAGGGCACATATAAGAAGCAACCAATGAGTGCATGAATGGGTGAAACTACAAATTGATCTCTCGCTCTCAAATCAGCAACAAAAAAAGAGCTGATGTGAAAGGTGATTCTTCACTCCCGAGCCCTTAAGCCTCTCCCTAGTCTAGGCATCCAGGAATTAAATGCTGAATGTCAAAACCTGGACCCAATGTCTCCACTCCAGTGTAGGCACCAGAGCTGAGGGAACTGTTGGCTGCCTTCACAGGGCCCTCCTTTGTCTCAGTGTAGATTCCATGCCAGTTGAAAGCCCTTATACTTCAGCACCAATGTTGCCACCTAGAGCTGAGGTGACAGAAGTCTTTCCTCATCTGAGACCTGTTGCATCTGCTCCAGTGTAATCACACAGGTATGACTGACAGCTGTCTCTCCTCATCAGGTCTGTCATCTCTGTTTCACATTGTAAGGTTCCAGAGCTGAGGTAACATTTGACTCAATTCAGTGAGGCCCTAAGGTCTGTGTCAGAATGTATTCACCCAGAAATGAGGTGACAAATGACTGTCTTCACCTGATCCCTCACGCTTGTGCTTCATTTTAGGTACCTATATGGGAGGTAACAGCTGAATCTACCTGGGACCTCATGCCTCTTCCCCATTGCAGGCTCCTAGAGCTGACAGTTGACTGCCCTCATCAGGGCTTTCACCTCCTACAGGGTCACCCAGAGGGCGGGTCCTCATATTTATGCCCCAGTGTAGCACCCAGATTTGAGGTGTCAGTTGGTTGCCCTCACCTGGGCACTCATGCCTCTGTCACAGCGGAGACACTCAAAGCAGGATCAGATTGGGAGGTCCCCACAGTCCTTCCTTCCTGCTCACAGTCATCATGTGCTAGAAGCCCAGGAAGAGCTGGGTCCCTCCTCCACTCCTGCTGCTGCCCCTACTTGGATTGTCCCACACTTCTGGGAGCATCCCTTTGCCAGCAGGTTCATCAGGGGACCTGGGGATCCTGTGAGGACTATCCCCAGCATACAACTCTGCTAGGTCCCCAGTCTGTAAACTTCTGGGGGAGGGAGCTCTGTGAAAGGGCTCTAAGCCTGAAGGCCCCCTGTGCCTTTATTTGGCTTCCCACTCAAGGGTTCGATGTCCTCCTCAGGTGCGTACTGAGGATTTGAGGTTTCAGGACTGCAAGCCAGTTGCATCTGCTCCAGTGTAATCACACAGGTATGACTGACAGCTGTCTCTCCTCATCAGGTCTGCAAGCCAGGGCTGGTGGGGATTTAGATGTGTCTACTCTAGGTGCAGGCAAGAAGATAGCACCTTCTGGTAGTAAGCAGGGGGAAGGCGTGGCTGCGTCTCCAGGGGGACTCTGTACCATTCTGGTCATCATCTGGGGGGCCATGGCTCTGTGTCATCCTGAGCCTTTTGCAAAGCCTCGTCTGCCCCCATCACAGCCACATGGCTGCACCTGAGTCAAGGGTAAGACTCTCTGTAGCTACACGAGCCAAAGGGTTACAGGGAGCCTGAGTCCCTAGGCTGGCCCCAATTGCCCCTTCTCTAGACCACATAAGTGAGGACCAAGGCCTGGCCTCCAATTCTGTCCACATGGAGCCTTCTCAGGCACTCTGCGTGGGTCTGAACTAGAAGGGACTGTGAAGTACACATTCAGCCTTAAAAAGTCACCTTACTTTCCCTGATTTGGCTTCGTGGTTAGAGCATCAGCCTATGGATCAAAGGGTCCCAGGTTTGATTCCCAGTGAAGGGCATGTACCTAGGTTGTAGGTTTGATCCCTGGTCCTGGTTGGGGTCATGCGGAAGGCAACCAATTGACGTGTCTCTCACGTTGATGTTTCTTTCTCGCTCTCTCCTTCCCACTCTATGTAAAAAAAAAAATCAATGGAAAAATATTCTCAGGAGAGGATTACAACAAAAAAAGTCACTTTACTTAAGGGTCTGTGACTTGTCCCTGTCCCATAAAGCTCTTTCTTTCCCTAGTCAGTGGGGTCCAGGTGAATTTGATCTTTCCTCCCATATCTTGGAGATACTACCTCTCCTGGTTATACGAGATGGGGAGAGCAGGAATAGTGACTGGGGATGCAGTTTGTATATGGTGTGTATGTGTGTGGGGTGACGTACTATCCCAGCTTATGGGATGGCAACAGGCCAACGTGCAATTTGAATTTCTTCATCTATATATTACTTTTGCAGAGACCTGAGCAGGAACCTCGGCTCATCCCTACCTGGTGCTCCACCCATCAAACTGCACTGGACTCCCAACTGTTACCATTCTAGGCTAGGGGGACTATGCAGATCAGCTTGCTTTCAACGGCAGGCTAAGTAAGGATGGTTGGTGGGAAAAGCCCTGGGCAATTGCTTTCCCAAGAAGAGGTGGGGGACAGAGGGACCACGGGCTGATGAACTCTTGCTAACAGCCTGAGGGCCTTCCCCATCCTGGAACACCAAGCCCTGTCAGCTGCAGGGTCCTTGTGTGTGCTCACCTCCCTGGGAGTGGAACTTTCCTTCCCTGGTCATTTCCTGGGTTGCTGGTTTGGTCCCTCCAGAAAACTTCCACCCACCATATAATCATTTTATGTTCCTTTTGTTCCTAGTTGGCTGCATCTAAAAGAACTCAGGCCCATGAACTTAGGAACCACAGTGCTGGTTCCTAACATCTCCCCAGTGCTCAGCTGAGGGGCGGGACAGATGTGCAAGGGGTATTGCCTTTGTTGGGAGTGTACTGGTTTGAAGTGTCTCCCCGCCCCCCAAATCCATGTCTACCTGGAACTTTGGAATGTGACCTTATTAGAAAATAGGTGTTTTCCCAGCTGGTCTGGCTCAGTGGATTGTCATCCCATGCACAAAAAGGTCACTGATTCGATTCTTGGTGAGGGTACATGCCGGGGTTGCAGGCTGGATCGCCAGTAGGGTGCGTGCAGGAGGCAGCCGATTGATGTTGATGTTTCTCATCAATGTTTCTCTCTCTTTCCCTTCCTTTCCAAAATCAATAAAAAACATATTAAAAAAAATAAAAGAAAATAGGGTGTTTGTAGAAGTAATCAAGTTAGGTTGAGGTCACACTTAAGTACAGTGGTGTACTTAATCCAGTATGATTGGTGTCCATTTAAGAAAACAGGAGATAGATACACACAGGCAGAGGACTGCATGAAGATGAAGGCAGACAATGACATGTTTACAAGCCAAGGAACATCTGCCACCAGCAGAAACTAGAGGAGGCAAGGAAGGTCTCTCCCCTACAGCCTTGGAGGCAATGCAGCCCTGCTCATTCCTAGATTTCAGACTTCTGGCCTTCAACCTGTGACAGGATAAATAAGGTACCTGAAGACCCCCAGTCCATCTCAGGACCCCAGCTGTCTGCTTTAGAGTAGCCAGGCTACAATGCCTCCCTGGACTATCCCTTCCCTCTTGGCATCGATGTCAGCCACAAGATCCTGTTGACATTCCTTCCTAAATACTCCTCACTTCCATGGACTGGCAATGTGTGCAAATGGACCTCAATTCCTTTAAGTTGCTGGCTGAGGCAGGAACACTGTAAGGGCAGGATGCTCAATGAAGCATTTAGGTAGAAGGTAAAAAGAATTTGATCTGTCCTTGTATCCCATGGAGTGGGAAAGGATGAAGGCAGAGATGAGGGGGACCTTGGAGGTACTGGGATGCAGGGATGGGTCACGATGGGACACAGGGTCAGGGGTGAAGGAAATCCAGGTTCCAGGAACCGAGTAACAGGAAAGGGGCGAGGGATGGGTCCTGAGAAAGGCAGGTGGCCAGAGGCCCTCTACCAGGTGGGCTGGCCTCAGGTGCAAGTACCCTGCTTCATGGTCACAGGTGGCAGGAAAGAAATGACCAGGGGACAGTGGGTCTGTTTGTGAATTTAATGGTAGAGGGCTGAAGTGGGGCATCCCACCTTCTGCTTCTGTTTTTCTAGTAGCAAGGGTGGCACCTGTGGGTGAGGTGGGCCATGGAGTGCAGAGTTGGCCTGGTGGGGCAGAGGGACATTCAGGGGGCCCGAAACATGGGGGACTGATGGGCAGCAAAAAAGTCCCGTCCAGCAGGTGATCAGGAATGTAGAGTGGCCCCGAGGCTGGTGTGGACACGCTTGCCCCCTTTCCCTGGGTTCTGAGGAGCTTGCCCATAGCCAGTGGGGGTGTGGGTCGGCCACTGGCCCAATGAGGCCCACCCAATGATCCTTCCCCTTATCCCTAACTCCCATCCTAGGCTGAGGAACCTGGGACAAATGGAAGGTCACTGTTCTTCCTTCCATTGGGGCTCAGTGCCATAGACAGAAGCTGGCTCAGGTGGGGCCAGTGGTGGCTGGGGATGGTCATAGCATGAGTTGAGTGTTGGTGGTTGAGGAATGTAACTGGGCCCAGGGCCAGGAATGTGAGGCTGAGGCCTATGGTCCCGAAGTCCTCCTGATGTGGGGTCAGGCGGTGAGAAGGTGGGAAGGGCAGAAACAAACGGGGTAGGAAAGGGCTCGGTGCTTAGAGCTTGTGGGGGTTCACCCACTTGTAGGTGCCCTCATACTGGAAGCCCACTCTCTTCATCAGCTCATCTGCTTCTGCTGGACCTCGGCTGAGAAAGAGAGACAGGCAGAGGAAAGCAGTGAGGGAGCCCTTAGCCCCAGTGTCCTCCTCCCATCCCTCCCGCCATGCCTACCCCTCACCTGCCATAAACGTAGGGGATGGGCTGGGGCTTCTCGCGCTCGATCTGATGCAGCAGTGGTGTGAAGATCCGCCAGGCCTCCCGGAGCTCGTCACTGAGGGGACACATTTGTGGCTTTGGGGGGATGTGGGGACATAAAGGGAGACAGGGAAGGGGGAAGGTGGTCCCCACTGCCTGGAACCCAGTCCCCGCTGCATATAAGCAGGGCCCCCCACCTGCGCACGAAGTGCATCTGGCTCCCACAGAAGACATCCAGGATGAGGCGCTCGTACGCATCAGGGAGCTTCACGTTCTGCAAGAGAGGGTGTCACTGAGGTTGTTTGCAAACCCAGAGACCCCCAGCCCAGCCCAGCCCAGCCCCCTGGGCTGGGTGTTCACCTTGTATCTGTTGCCATAGGTCAGGTCCAGTTCCGACTCCTCAGGGTTGAAGAACATGCCGGGTTTCTTGGTCATCATCTTGGTGTACACGGCCTCATTGGGCTGCACTCGGATCACCAGTTCGTTGCGCTTGCACTGCTGCTGGAAGATGTCTCCAGCCACATCGCGGAACTGCAAACGCACCTCGGCCTTGCGCTCATTCAGGGCTTTGCCGCAGCGCAGAATGAAGGGCACCCCTGGGTGGGGAACAAGGCTAACCTCAGGACCAGCTCTGCCAGCAGCCCAGGCCACATACCGCATGTATGAGGGAGTGAGGGAGGGAGTGTGTGACAGGGTGCATGCGAGTGAAGGTGTGTGCATGCACAAGTGTGGCAAGGTGGCTGGGTCCCACCCTGCTGGCCCTCTTCCCTCCAGCATCCCATGTTGGCTGGCTGCTGGCCGTGAGCGGGTCGGACCCCAGGGAGAAGAACTCCACGAGGGCTTGCCAGCCTGCCTGCCAGGCTTGGACGTGTCACCTACCATCCCACCTCTCGTTCTCCACATAGAGGACAACAGCTGCGAAGGTGGCAGTGGTGGATCCACGGGGCACTGTGGGGTCGTCCAGGTACCCTTTGGTGGCCTCACCCTTTCCATTGGGATTCCCCACATACTGGCCCAAGACCACATTTTTCACCTGCGCTTCTGAGATGCATTTCAACACCTTGACCTGGGATAGAGGCCGGGGAGAGAGGAGGCCCTTGTGTAAAAAGATGGAGCAGCCTCGAGCATAGGGTAGAACGTGAAGAGTCACATCACCCAAAGGTCCCCAGAAACACCCTAATTTTTTTTTTTGAAGGAAAAGCTGAGGCTTAAAGAGGCAATGGGTCTGCCCTTGGTCACACAGCAGTCACTCTTGTTTTTGCTCTTACCTTTCCTTCTTTAAAATATTTTTTTCTTTATTGATTTTAGAGGGAGAGGAAGGAAGAGGGAGAGAGAGAGAAACATTGATTGGCCGCCTCCTGCATGCCCCACACTGGGGATTTGGCTCACAACCTGGGCATGTGCCCTGACTGGGCATCAAACTGGTGACCTCTTGGTGCATGGGTCGACGCTCAACCACTGAGCCACACCGGCCAGGCACCCTCCTTTCTTTTTCTTTTAATCCTCACCCAAGGACATTTTTCCATTTCTTATACAGATAGAGTGGGAGGGAGAGAGAGGAAGAGAGAAAGAGAGAGAGAGAAACATCGACGTGAAAGGGACACATCGAGTGGTTGCCACCTGCACGACCAACCAGGGCCGGGGACAAACTGCAACCGAAGTACATGCCCCTAGCGGGAATCGAACCCGGGTCTCTCCGGACCGCAGGCCGATGCTCTAACCGCTGAGCCAAACCGGCCAGGGCGCCTTCCTTTATTGCTAAAGTCAGTAATTCTGAACATTGAAAAAATCTCAGAAGAAAGAAAAAGACATTAAAACGTAAAAGACTTTTCAAGATTTAAAAGTTAAGCTATGGAACATAATGAACAGAAAAAGCTGATAAACAAAACAGACCCAGAGACATAGGAAGGAGTACTCAGACGGACAAACCTCAGAGGAGGGGGGTGGGGGGGTAGGGGTGAGATAATCCAAAGAACTTATATGCATGTATGCATAACCAATGAATATAGACAACAATGCTTGGTGGGGGGTGGGATAGGGAGGAGGGTGTCTGTGGGGGGGAAAAAGGAGAAATATTTATAACAAAAATAAATTAATAAAAACAAAAGTTAAGCTATGGGGAAAAATTGTTATTATTATTTATGGTACGTGCCCCTAGCGGGAACTAAACCTGGGACTCTCTGGTCTGCAGGCCGATGCTCCAACCGCTGAGCCAAACTGGCCAGGGTGAAAAATTGGTTTTTAAACTGACTTCTTTTCTTTTTTTTATTAATTCATTTTTGTTACAGATGTTTCTCCCCCCCCCCCCACCAACACCCTCCTCCCCATCCCGCACCCCCCATCACAACACTGTTGTCTATGTCTAATGGTTATGCATACATGCATATAAGTTCTCTGGTGTATCTATTCCCTCCCCCTCCCCCTGAGGTTTGTCAGTCTGTACCCTACTTCTATGTCTCTGGGTCTATTTTATTCATCAGTTTATTTTGTTCATTATATTCCACAAATAAGTGAGATCATGTGATACTTGTCTTTCTCTGATTGGCTTATTTTACTTAGCATAATACTCTACAGGTCCCTCCATGTCACCTCAAAGGATAAGAGATCTTTCTTTCTTACTATAGTATTCCATTGTGTAAATGTACCACAGCTTTTTTACCCACTTATCTACTGATGGGCATTTGGGCTGTTTCCAGATCTTAGTAATTGTAAATAGTGCTGCTATGAACATAGGAGTGCATGTATTCTTTCTGATTGGTGTTTCAGCTTCTTAGGATATATTCCTAGCACAACAGTCACTCAGTCCTGCAACATGACATCTTGGACTTCTGATTCCCAGCCTAGGGCACCCCTTCCTCAGGGCTGGTTACTGGGGCTGGCAGTGAGGACCAGCACCGTGCAACTCTACCTACCTTCTCATCACGGACATCATCTGAGTCAGTGGAGGTTGGCTTCTCCATGGCAACCAGACACAGCATCTGTAGCAGGTGGTTCTGCATCACGTCCCTGGCAGGGAAGCAGGCAGAACTCGGTCAGGGGCTTCCATGTTGGAAGAAAGGTGCAAGGAGTGAGCCCTGCCTTAGCCCCCTCCCTGTTAGCCAGGTTCTGGGGGCTGGGGTTTCAAGTGGGACTTTTGAGCAAGTTACGAGACTTGCTTCCTGATCCTCAGTGTCTACCAGATTCCCTTAAGGCAAGGAAGGAGTCAGTGATAGCTATCACTGACTGATCAGACTCCCGCTGCAATTTGAACTTCAGGGTGGGAAAGGAGGAACCCCCTAGAACAGTGAGGGGTGACCCTGTAGGAAGGCAAGATTGTACCCCATGCCCATGCATGCCTCCTAGGAAGGAAAGATGGGCTCTCACCGGATGATCCCAAATTCATCGAAGTAACCCCCACGGCCCTCAGTACCAAAGGGCTCCTTGAAGGTGAGGATGACGCAGGCGACATTGTCTCGGTTCCAGATGGGGCCAAAGATCCTGTTGGCAAACCTGCAGGAGGGGCAGGGCAGAGGCTGGCGCTGTATCCAATGAGGCAGCAGCAAGGCAGGCTAGGCCTCCCAGTGCCCGCCTCTGACCTGGCCCAGTCCCCCTCCGCCCCATCCCGTGGCCCTGGCCCCAGCCCCAGCTGTACCTCAGCACCATGAGGTTCTGGACCATCTCCTTGCCCAGGTAGTGGTCGATGCGGTAGATCTGGTCCTCACAGAACAGGGAGGAGATGTGGTTGGACAGCTGGTCGGAGCTCTGCAGGTCTTTCCCAAAGGGCTTCTCCACAATGATTCGGTTCCAGCCTCTGCAGAAACCCAGAGCCTTGTCACTCCCACTCCCTCCCTGGGGAGCGGGGGCCAGAATCTCATCATCCCCAATAACCTCTCCTTAGGGAGTGGGGATAGGAGTGGCCTAAGAGCTAGTGGGAGAGCCGGAGGTGGGGGCTTCAAGACCACATTTATCTCTGTGGGTTTTAAAATGGGAAAAAGTCCTTGTTAGTCCCACTGAGAGCCAACATGGTATTCTGCATTCAAAACCAGAACAAAGTGAGAGAGACTACTATGGCTGTGCAAAAAACGGAGCGACCAAGCCCAGGAAGTGGGATTCTTGTGGAGCAACACTGCCACCTCGTGGTCATAAAGGGCACTTTGGGAAATGCCAAAGAGCCTAAGCAGCAGCAACCAGCAGTTTCATGCAGCCACACTGCCACGTCGCGGTGCTAAGGGGGACTGTTTTCAGGAACAGTTGGATTTCTAGTGAGGTAAACTATGAGGGTCTACAGATTTAGTACATAAATATGTGTGGTAGTATTTTCAGTAAGGATGTCAGAAAGCTACCGTATTTACAGCTTATTCCATTCTTTATGAAGTTAATTCATGTAGAGAACAAACAAGGAAATCCTGCTTTTTCAGACTACCTAGACCAGTTTGCCCTAGGTCTATGACAGCTGCCAGGGCAGGCCAGACAGAGGTAGGGCACACCAGGGAGGCAGGAAGGAAAAGTAAAAGACAAGCCTTACGTCTGGCTCATGCAGGTCTCTCGGATGTTCTTGGTGACAGCCTCATAGACAGTGGGGGGCAAGGCCAGGTAGAAGAGGCGGTTGGCCCGTGACCCCTGGCAGAGGGCATTCATGTGGTTATTCAGGTGCTCATAGGAGGCTGCGTGATCGTACTGGCCAGACACATAGGAGTTGCAGGCAAAGAACTCCTCCAGCTTGGGCTTCTCCTCTGGCGTGGCCTGGCAAAGATGGACACAGGGATGTCAGCCCTTCCTTGCTCATCCCACAGCCAGGGCAGGCTCCTTTGGAAGTCAGCCAACCTAGCCCCACACTGGGTTCACCACTATTTCATCAGCTTTGCACACCCAAGGGGAAGGCCAAGGCAACTGCAGGGGATGGGGCCTAGTAGTCCCAGGCCAGGTCCAGAAGGGGCACCCCTGGGGACCTCGTGCCCTAAGACAGAAGTCAAACTTCAGGAAAGTTTGACCTGGAAGAAACATACCATAGAAAGATCTCTCTCTTTCTAAAGTCATTACACCAAACTACAGTGTGCTGGGAAAGCCCAAATCTGCAGGATTCCCATGGTCTAGAGCAGTGGTTCTCAACCTCCCTGATGCCGTGACCCTTTAATACAGTTCCTCATGTTGTGGTGACCCCCAACCATAAAATTATTTTCGTTGCTACTTCATAACTGTAATTTTGCTACTGTTATGAATCGCCATCGGAAATATGTGTTTTCCAATGGTCTTAGGCAACCCCTGTGAAAGGGTTGTTCAACCCCCAAAGGGGTCGTGACCCACAGGTTGAGAACTGCTGGTCTAGGGGTTTTTTCAGCTCCTGGCCCTGGGGCACAGTGAGTCCACATGAGGGGGATCTGGGAAACAGGGGTCTCAGGCTCGTAGGGTTCCTGCGCCGCACCCTGTGCCCCTCCTGTCATCTAGGAAATGGCAGGAGCAGGTTGGCAGTTTTCTGTGCCAGTTCAGCAGAGTAGTGTGGGTGGTTTTAAGGAGGGCAAGGATAAGAAGTGCTTGGGGCCCAGGTGACTGTCCTAACATGGCCCTGACCCTCTGCAGGATAGGGAAAGAGGGCCTGGGGGAGCAGAAGCAGAGAGTGAGAGTGGGAGGAGGAAAGGGCATCCTGGAATGGGATGGGGGCTGTCCCCTTCAGAGACCCTGGAAGCTACTCACTTTGAAGAAGGGCTCGCTCTGCTTACGTATGTCAGCCACCGTGAGACGGGAGCGGGCATAGCCCACGATGAAAGTGTTTTCAGGCAGAAGGCCATCCCGAAACAGCCACCTGAGGGCAGAACATGGCTGTGGCCAGGGCGAGAAGGGCAGGGAAGGTGAGGAGGGTGTGGGGCAGTGGGACAGTGGAGGAGGGTGCTTACCAGATGGTGGGGTAGATCTTCTTTTTGGCAAGGTCACCCTGTGGCAGAGGGAATAGTCATGGTTAGGGGAAGCTGGGTACATGACCTAAATGATCTCCCCACATGGAGACCCGGGTACTTGATCAGGGTCACCACTCAACCACAAGCATACCCGTCCTACTCCTGTATGTAGAGGAGCTTGAATTAGAGCCTGTGCTAACCCTTTACCCTGACCCTGAACTAACAGTGCCCACAATCGCAGGAACCACCTTGAGGTATATGGACCTCGTGCTGGCCAGGAAGCACCACAACCAATCTGGCCATCCTGCAATCACACAGACCATGATCTCTGGTCTCAGTGCAAGCAAGCGGAACCAAAGCCAAACCAAAAAGCCCACTTCTAGAAAACTCATCGGCTAAAGAAGAAAACCTGAAAACTACATTCACTGGAAGCAAATGGCAATGGAAGTAGCATATATAAAAACTTGTGAGATGTGGTTAAGTACTTACGTTGGCAAAAAAAAGAATGGCTCAAAATTAATGACCTCAGCATTCATTTTAAGAGGTTAGAAAAAGCGCCCTGGCTGGTTTGGCTCAGCGGTTAGAATGACGGCCCGTGGACCAATGAATTGAGGGTTTGATTCCGGTCAAGGGCACGTACCTCTGTTGCAGTTCGTCCCCGGCCCTGGTCAGGGTCTTGCAAGAGGCAGCCAGCTGATGTGTCTCTCTCATGTCGATGTTTCTCTCTCTCTCTCCCTCCCTCCCACTCTACCTGAACACGAATGGAAAAATATCCTTGGGTGAGGATAAAAAAAAGAAGTTAGAAAAAGGACAGTAGAAATTTTAAGCCAAATAAGTTTCAAGGCGGGATATAATGAAAAATTAATAAAATGGAAAACAAACCAAAAGATGAACAAAGTCAAAAGTTGGGGTTTGAAAAAGACTAATGAAAAACAGACAACTCTCTGGCAAGATTGCTTGTTTCTTTTTTAATCCTCACCTGAGGATATTTTTCCATTTATCTTCAGATAGAGTGGGAGGGAGGCAGAGAGGGAGGGGGGAGGGAGAGGGGAGAGAGAGAGAGAGAGAGAAAGAAACATCAATGTGAGAGAGAGACATCAAGTGCTGGAATCAAACCCGGGACTCCTTGGTCCGTGGGCCAATGCTCTAACCGCTAAGCCAAACTGGCCAGGGCAAGATTGCTTTTTAAAAGGCACCAAGAGCCCTGGCCGGTTTTGCTTAGTGGTTAGGATGTTAGCATGTGGACCAAAGAGTCTTGGGTTTGATACCCCGTCAAGGGAACATACCTTGGTTGTGGGTTTGATCCCCAGCCACAGTTGGGGTCACGTGGGACGCAACCAATCAATGTGTCTCTCTCACATCGATGTTTCTCTCTCTCTCTCTCCCTCCCTCCCTTCCTTCCACTCTATCTAAAAATTAATAAAAATCCTTGGGTGAGGATTTAAAACAAGGCACCAAGAATTAGGGGTACAGTGGGACAAAATTACAGTGAGGCAACACAGAAGACGGTTTTATAAACAATCGTATTCCCTTCTGACAACTTAGATGAAATGGACAAATTTCTTGAAAAATCCAACCTACCAAAATGGAGTGAGGGACCTGATTGGGCAATGGTCATTAAGGAAATAGGATTGTAGTCATTAAACCTTCCCACCAAGACAACCCCAACCCTGACCCTGGCACAGGATCTTCGCCAGTGGGTTCTACCACAACGCCAGGAAGAGAGAGCTCCAGCCTGAGGTAAACTCTACTGCAAACACAATGGGGAGCACTGTTGAGCCACTTTATGGGGCCTGCAGAAGCTTGGTACTGAGACCTATCAGGAAGGCACATGGGAACCCCTCAGCCCGTCTCATTCACATGCAGATGCAGAGGCAAAATCCTGCGGAAAAAACATTAGCAAACAAAATCCTGTAATGTTAAAAATGTGACGTGTCAGAACCAAGTTGGGGGATATCCTGGAAACAAAAGGTTGGTTTGATATTAAAAAGCAAAAATCATTGTCTTGGCTGGTTTGGCTCAGAGGTTGGAGTGTCGGCCTGTGGACCAAAGGGCCACAGGTTCAGTTTCCAGTCAGGGGCATGTACCTGGGTTGCAGGTTTGATCCCCAGCCCTGGCCAGGGTTGTGTGGGAAGCAACCAATCAATGTGTCTCTCTCTTTCCTTCGCTCCCTTCTACTCTACCTAAAAATCAATGGAAAAATATCCTCGGGAGCAAATACTTGTACATGGATGTTCATAGTAGCCTCAATTTACAATATCCCTAACTTGGAAACAACCCAAATGCTCAAATCAATCAACAGGTAGGTGGAAAAGCTATATATTCATTCTATGGGATACTACTCAGTGACAATGAGCTAGTGATCCACACACCCAATGCAGGCAAATCTCAAAAACATGCTGAGTCAAATTATGAGTTCACCTAAATGAAGCTCTAAAATTAGTAAAAACTAATCTATTGTGATAGAAATTACATCAGTGGTTGCCTGGAGCAAGCAGGTGGCGGATTGACTGGGAAGACCATCCAAGTATTTCCTGGGGAGATGGAAATGTCCTACATCGTGATAAAGATTTACAATCAATTGTACAGTTAAGGTTTGTGTATTTCAATGTGTACAAATATTGCCTAAAAACGAACAGTCTAAAACAACAAGAATTGAGCAGAGGGTAGAGAGTGGGTAAAGCAAGATGGCAGAACGTTGTGGGAGCTGGGTGATGGACAGTGGCCTATTCATAGAGCTATTCTGTTGACTTCTTGTGTATGTGAAATTTTCCAAAATAAAAGCAAGAGTGTTACATGGCAACTGTGAGCAACAATATGGCGAATCCCACACACTTGACAGGAGACTCTATAAAGAATCACAAAGTTCCTTCTCCCCAGATTCCAGCTCAGTTGCTGTAGCCATTCTAATGTGCTTTAATTGTGTGAACTGACAATTGAATTCTCCCCTCCAGCTGGAAGAGGAAGGGGCAAGGATGGCCACAGGTTTTTGGAGAAGAACAGAGCAGGGAGCCCTTTCATCTGCCTGCTCTGTAATTGAAGAACAGGACAGGCCTGGGCACAACCCACGCTCCACTGAGCATTGCCAACTAATGGGGTGGGGTGGGGGGAAGAATATGCTGGGCTGGGGTGGATGTGAATTTGCCCCAGGCAGAAAAAAGGAGGCCAAGCAACTGGAACCAAAACAATCCCTACCTGGTTAAAATTCCTCTGCAGACAGGCAGTTAGGAAGGCAATGGGGGCCTGGAGGGGTGGTACCTGTGGGTGGGAAATCCCTACTATGGGTGGGAGTGGGGGAAGGCCATTTCGCAGACTCCGTGGGAGTTTAGGGATGCCTGGTGCCTTGAACGTTCATGTTCTTCCTGTTCTTTGCTCTGTCTCCAATGTCCTTGGGTGACCTGACCTCTACCCAGGGCTTAAGGTGGGAGACTGCATGTGGACAACTCCAAGTCTCTTCCAGATCAGAGTTCACTGAGCACCAAGCTCACATAAGCAGGTGTCTACTGGCCATCTCCAGGCTCCATTGGGACCCCAAACTTCCAAAGTGGGCAGTTCCCAAACCAGGCTATGCTGTCAGTGCCCCTGCCCAAGCCTGCCAACTACTTATAACTGATCTCCTAAATGCTCTGGAGTGGGTCCCTACTGGAATTGCTACCTTCCGTGTGAAGCACTGCCACAGCCTCCTCAGATGGTTACCCTCACTGGTCCTTCAAGGTTCAGCTCTGGGCCCCAGTTTGAGTTTCAAGCTTCCCCTCCATGTCCCTCAATGCCCAGTAACCCCCACAGGTGCACTACTCACTGGGGATCATCAGTGCCCACCTCTGGCTTCTCCTACCAGTGGGGATGGATGGGGACTCTGCTTCTTTTGCCTTGGCTCAGTGTTGGCCCTGATGGTTCCAGAGAGGTTTGCTGTGGACTAGCCCCCAAGAGAAACAATCAGAAACTCAGCCTGCAAACTCCTCACGGCAGGAAACATTTGCTTACTATCCAATTCCAGCAGGCTGTGGGGAATCAGGACAGACTACAGGCAATAGATTGGTGGCAGGGCACTAGTTCCCTGTCTGCTGAGTCACAGTGCCCCACACCCCAAACTGTTTGTTCTTGTCGTTCCCTTTGGGATTAATTAGCGATAGAACCTGCTTGTCTAGTTCTGCTCAGCCCCTGCAACCAGCGGTCTGCGGGCTCCAAGTCACCCAAGGAAGAGGTGACATAGAACCCAGGGCAGTGGGGGGTGTGGGGCCTGACAGCTGCTCTCTTTGGGCTGGGGGTAACCTGCCCTCCCTGCTGGCCTGGGCTGGACTCCTCTGCAAGAAGGAATGTGGGAAGACAATGACCAAATCTCAGCATGCCACGTGTGGGTGTAGATCAATTACAGGAGCTCTTGGTGAGATGCTGCAATCTTTCCTACACCCTTCATTTTGCTCCAGGGCCACAGTGGAGAAGGAGCTGTCCAGGGACACAGTGACTTGGTTGGAGAAGCAGGACCTGATTAGGATCTCCAGCCACCAGGAGCTGGCCTGGCTGGGGCAAAGGAACCTGGGCCACCTGCTTGTTGCTGCCCAGGTTTGACTTCAGTATACTGTCTTATAAACCCAAACTACTGCTGATGTCTGTCTATGAGGGTTTTAGGGCAGAAAGCATGACAGAGAGCTTCAGGGGTTAAATGCCAGCTTAAGGCCCTGCAGGGTGGGCGGGCCATCCTGTCCCCCCAGGGTCACTCAGGTCAAAGATCTGCTGGGTCTCCTGGGGTGGAGCCCAGACTTTGGCTGGGACCCAGCTGGCTCCTGGCCATTAGGGTGAGAACTGGGGGCTGCTGAGGTAAGCATGGCTGCAAAGTCAACAAAAGGGCCTCCCTACTCCACCCTGGGGCTTGTGAATCACCAGGACTTTGAGGGGGGTGCCAATATCATCATGACGCAGCAAGAATCTTATCGGCCCAAGGAGAAGGCAGTCCAGAAACATTCCGAGGAAAGGGAGGGGCTGGGGCTGCCAGGTCATCCCTTGTACAGGCCCGTCACTGGGATGGCTCCTGAGCACCCATTGAGCTCATGGCCCTTGTGGTCCAGGTGGGGAGACTGAGGTCCAGACAAACGAGGGGCTCACGAGGGGCTCACTGAGAACCAAGCAGTAAGCCAATCCTGTCCAAGTGAATTCCCAGTCCTCTCTCTTTCTCTTACCCCCATTCCTCTCTACATCCCCTGGAGGGAAGAGTCACTTCAGCCTGGCTATGGTCCTATCAGATGGGGGAGGAAGGCCCAAGATTCTTCCCCTCATGCTGGTCTGTAAGGAGGAACTGGTTTCTTTTATTCCAAAGCTTTCTGGACTGGGACAGTAAGTACTTGCACTCCCTTCCTGCTTGGGGGTGGGAATCCTGAGAAGGGGGGAAGTGCCTACACAGCAGGGGGAACAGAGAGCAGCCCCAAGCCCATTGGGTAACTCTGTGAGCTAGCATCATAATGCTACCAGGAAGGAAGTTGGGTGTGGGGCTGAGGGTTGGGTAATTGGGCAAGGGAGGAAGAAGGAGCAGAGGATGGCTACATGGGCCCAGCTGCCCCGGGGGGCCCACCAGTCACTGGGGGTTCTGTGTTTGCTCTCCCCTTTGTGTGAAATGCTCCCTCGGCCTTGGCTCTGCAGGCCCTCCTTGTGAAATCTATCTGCTGAGGGATGGGGCTGGGGACACAAGGGCCTGTTTCTATCTTTTATCACATGTGTCACTCTGAATTCTTACTGGGCTGCAAACTCACCTTGGGTCCTGGTCCCCCAGCACACAGATCCTAGGAGGAGGGCAGGACCTGTGTCTCTGCACTGCAGAGGAAGCACCTGATCGCCATTTGTTGGATGAAATGAACAGAAAACTCACTGGTTTCCCACAGTACCACCCTGCCTACCTCCTACATGGAAGGAGCAGGCATGGAAGGCCTGATTCTGGAAGCTGTTCTAGGTGCTGCCTGAGTGTGGGAGGCCAGCCCACCTGGTTCCAGTCCCCTTGAATAGGAGATGGAGAAATGAACAAGAAGGCTCTTCTTTGGAGGACAACCTGTATTCTCCCACTCCACCCTGCTGGAGTGGCACTTCCCACTTCTACTCTGGAAGCCTCTGGTTGTCACTCCCAGAGCAGGGGAGAGTAAAGGGGAACCCTACCGATTGCAAAGAAACAAAGTTGCCCAACCTCAAGATGGCCACAGGTGAAGGCAACAAGGAGTCACAGAATCAGCTTGGCAGAGCCCGAGGACTCCTAGCACTTGCTTCAAAAGCCCTCATTTGCTATGTGGAAACAGATTCAGAGAAGGGAAGAGACTTGCCAGATCACACAGCAAGCTTGGATGTTCTCAATGACACCTCTAAGACTTGAGGGCCTGGAGCCGTAAGCCATTTATTGTGGTCTGGGATGCTGTGCTGGATCATCCTATGACAGGCTGGTATGGGGATGAGGGAAAGGAGAAGAAATAATCCTGAGATACTTTCTCTTCCAAACCATTTCTTGGATAAAGGGCCTAATGGTCAGAGTCCTAGGTGTTAAGGTTGGTGGCCAACATAGGTGTAGCTCCTCTAAGGGGACCAGGCTGGGGCTAGGGTGGAGGCCAAGCCTTCCCCATGTGCTCCTCCTGTGCATTCCCCAGACTTGGACTTATGGGGAGTTAGAGGACAGTGCTTAGGGTAGACCTCCCTTCCCTCCCACCGGCAGAACCCTTTTCCCCGGCTCTGCCTCCCGCCCTGCATTCTGGATGTCCTTTTCCAGGTTCTGATCAGAATCTCAAAATTGACAAGGAGCAGGCTCTGCAAAGGGCAGCAGCATGTTATGATACATGAACAAAAAACCAAGGTCTTCCAGAGCTGAGGAGACTATAATGTGAAAGGTGCAGAGAGACAATGCTTATCCTGTCAAGAGCTAACTAGTTTTGGTAGAATTCTTGCTCAAGATTATATAAATTACAAGCAAAAATGGTCATGCGACGTTTAGCAGATTCTTCTTGGTCATGACCAGGATTAAAAATGAAGAGGAGGCCATTTTTACTTCCAGATGAAGCTCTGGCAGCTCATCTCACCAGCCCCTGTATATTTTACACTGGGAGGGGGTGTTAGTGTGGGAGTCATGGCCTTTCCTATCAGAGTAAAATGACAGTGTCACTGGCTAGGCAATGGGGCTCCTCAGCAGGCCTTGGAAGTTGGGACAGAGAGATAGCATTCAGAGAAAGGTTGAATGTTTGTCCCCAGGAAATTTGGGTAGAGAGAGACAAGGTGGAAATTGGGCCTCAGATCCTGCCTCTGGAACTAATTGACTGTGTGATATTTGTCAAGTCACAAACAGGTTTGAAAAAGATAGATACAAAATGAATAGCCTCGCCTGTTTGCATCTCAATTTTCCCTAGGGAGGAGGAAGTCTAATCAGACAGTCCCTGAGGACCTCCCAGCTCTGGGACATGGGTCTAGTCAATGGCTGTGCATAGATTTGAGAAATGCTTCAAAATGAGTATATACCAGGTGGTTCTGGGGTAATAATGGTACATAGGCAGGAGTAAGAGGGAGAGCCCAACTAAGCAGAGCTCAAGTGGCTCCATGACAATCAGTTGGGAAAGCCTGGGCACCTAGCAGGAAGGGATCTTAAGCAATGTCACACTCTAAGTTTGGATATTAAGATGCAGGGCCTAGGGGAGACTCACCGATGCACCCATGATGATGAAGATATACGTTTCGGACTGATGGAAGGCATCACCCTGGTACAGCTCTTCCCGTAGGATCCCACACACCTGGGTCCGGCTCAGGGCCACCTGCTCTGCCATGATGCTCTCTGGTGAAAGACTTGTTGACAAGGCAGGAGAACAGAAGAGCATTGAGAAGTTGGCTCCTTTCTTAAGGGATCTTTTGGGCTCTCACCCAGCTATCTGATTATTGAAACCACTGGCTGTGAATGGCTGGGGCAGAAGCAGGGTGGTTGAGGGTGGGGGTTAGAAACTTCTGGCTCTGGGCTCTGGCTATACTCCCAAGCAGCCTTCTTTCACAGTGTACATTATAAAGTTACCCAAAGCCCTAGTGGATTCCAACTAGAGCCTCATTTCTTGGGGGCTGAATAAAACTCTGCTGGAGCATGGCATGACCTGCCTAGGTTCATCTCACCCTGAAAATCAGGTGGAAACTCCACAATGAGCTGGAGCATGTTAGACCCTGCAGCTCCAGGCCTCCTCCTGCCAAGCTGGGACACTCGGGCAAGTCCCTGCTCCCCTCAGGTTTTCATTCTTCTCAGGGGTACAATGGGGGCGACTGGATGGGTTAAGACCCTTTGATTTTGCTCAGCTGCCAAGCATGGCACAACGAAGAGCCTCGCGGCGCAACACACCCTTCAGCCAGCGTGACACCCACCCACTTCATTACCTGCTCCTCGCCGCCTCCGCCGCCCGTGGAGTTCACAGCCTTGGAGTTACCGGCCGTTTCCGGGGGCTGAGACCCGCTGGTCCATTTAACAAGAGGGGGCGGGCGCCCGACCGCTTCAGGCGAGGCGAGAGGGCGGGGCCTCCGCGGAACCCTCCCTCGCAAGGGTGGGAGCGGGGCGCGAGCAGGTGCGCGCGCATCCCAGGCTGTTTCCTCCCCCCCCCCCCCCAGCGCGTGGTCCCCTCCCTGGGCCCGCCCCTTCGGCACCTGCGCAGGCACTGCCGCCGGCTACTGTGCCGCAAGCGGCCTGCTGTCCCCGCCTTAGCTGTGCTGCGTACCCGACGCCTAGCAGGTCCGCGTACAGCTCCTCGTCCTTCCCTCAGTTATCATCGTAGGCTCGGCCCCGCCCCTACAACTTGGCTTTTGCCCCAATGCGGGCCACTCCGCGCCCTCGCAAAGGGCTCCACATCCGCCAGCGGCGTGGCCACGCCTCCTGGGCCCCCAGTTTACGGCATGGCCCCGCCTTCTGGCCCAGACTGGTCGCCTGCTGAGGTCAAACCAGCCCTATTAAGTTGCCTCCTCGTGGCGCCTCCCCTGGCGGGGACCCGGAGGCTGAGCGCCGGTAGGCTGGGTGCCACCGCCTGAGAGAGAAGAGGAAGTGTGGGTTTGACGCCAGGAAAAGTAGCGGTGGTACGTATCATTCGGGAGCGTCCTGCAGGCCGGCGGAGACTGGTGGGTTTGGGATTCTTTCCGAAACAACCTCCTTCACACCTCCTGCCGTTCTCCTGGGTGGGGGCGGGGCTTGCGTGGTTTACTTCCGGATACCACAGTACGACACCGGAAGCCGGAAGTGGGAATTTCAGCAGCGGGAGAAGAGAAGGGCTACCGCGGAATCCGGACTTTCTTGGAGTGACGGCGCTCGAGGAGCGCTCGTGGCCCGCTGCTCCTGTCCTTCTCACGTCGGATCGATTCTGCTGTCAGGTGTGGCCCTCTTCCCCGAAGACAGGAAGACAGGGTACCATCGGTGGGCATTCTGCCGCCTCCTAGATTCCCCCGGACGTCCCGGCTTCCTACTCTTGTTGGGCCCCGATCAGTTTCTACCGCCCGCTTCTAGAGCATTGGCCTAGGCGGGGCCGATGCAGGACCCAGGTTACTTTGGCCGCGAGCGGGACTGTTCCGCTTGTCCCTCCTCCGCTGCCACGGAGTTTGACCACACCCCTAGTTCGTAGATGACTCTTAGTTTGGAGACATTTTATGTCAAACTTGACTGCATTTGTTAATTTTTTAAAAAGGCCCCAGTAGAGCCTGGCAACTCTCTTACCTCATGTGCCTCCGTTTGCTCACTTTGAAAAACGATTAATGTCTACCCGACCTCATATCATTTGCGTGATTCGAGGGTGAATGGGCCATCCTGGCATGTTCGAAGAACAGCAAGCAGGCCACTATAGCTGGAGCAGAGTGATAGAGGTACTTGGAGAGGAAGCAGTGGGGGTCAGATGGTACAGGATCTTGTAGGCCCTTGTAGAAACTTTGGCTTTTACACGGAGGGCAATGTGGGGCCATGTTATGGGTCTGATTAGAAGAGGGACGAGATTGGAATAACTTTTTAGGTCGATTTTTTTGGCCGACTGTAGGGAGAAAGGTTAGGAACAGGGTGAGTTGTTTGGAAGTTATTGTAGTAATCCAAGTGAGAGACACGGTGCTTTTAGCATTTTATTATGAAAAGTTTTAAAGATTTATAAAAGTAGGAAGAATAGTATAGTAAATCCTATGTACCCACATCCCAGCTACAGCAGTTTATCAACCCATGGCTAATTTAGTTTAATTTATACCCCTTACAATCCTTTCCCATTATTATTTTCAATAACAGCTTTATTGAGATATAATTCACATACCACAAAATTCACCTATTTAAAGTGTACAATTCACTGGTTTTTAGTATATTCACAGAGTTGTACAATCATCACCAGTAATTTCAGAACATTTGTTTTTTTAATCCTCACCGGAGGATATTTTTTTCCATTTTTTTTTTTTCAGATAGAGTGGGAGGGAGGGGGAGAGAGATAGAGAGAAACTCCATATGAGAGACACATTGATTGATTGCCTCCTGCATGCGCCATGACCAGGGCCAGGGATCAGCCTGCAACCCAAGTACATGCCCTTGACTGGGAATCAAATCCGAGACCCTTGAGTCCATGGGCTGATTCTCTAACCATTGAGCAAGTCTGGCCAGGGCCCAGAACATTTTTATCACTTCAAAAAGAAATTCTTTACCCTTTAGCTATTACCCCCATCACTTCATCTTCCCTACCTCTAAGCATCCACTAAGTTTTCTTTCTATATAGTTTTGATTATTCTCTACATTTCATGTAAATGGAATCATACAGTATGTGGTCTTTTGTGAGTTGCTTCTTTTTCTTAGCATACTGTTTTCAAAATTTGTCCATGTTGTAGCATGTGAGTGTGCTAGATTTTGTTTATTCATCAGTTGATTGACATTTGGGTTGTTTCCACTCTTTGGCTGTTATGAGTAATGCTGCTGTGAGCATTTGTGTGTAGACATGTGTTTTCATTTCTTTCAGGTATATACCTAGGAGTTCCCCCATTATTTTGAAGTGAATTTCAGACACCATCTGTAAATATTTCAGTATGCATCTGTAAGAAAGGACTTTGGAAAAAACATAACCGTAATACCACTATCACACCCAAAATAGTTAACATTAATTGCTTAGTGTCATCAAATAGATTTTGGGATACATTTTGATAGAATTTCCTGATGGGTTAGATGTGAACTGTGAGAGACAGAAGTCAAGAAGGACTCCAGAGTATTTTTCCTGTTAACTGGAGGATGGATTTGCCTTCAACTGACAATAAGGAAGTCTGTGGGGAACTGGCTTTTGGGGACTGTCATGAGTGCAGTTTTAGAGAGATTAATTTTTTTTTTTTTTTGCTGTGCGTTTATTTTTTATATATTACTTTTTAAATTTTTTATTTTTAAACTTATTTTTATTGTTGAATGTATTACAGATGTCCCTCCTACCCCCCCATTGACCCCCTCCTTCCCAATCCTGCCCCCCTCCTGCCTTTCCCACACTATTGTCTGTGTCCATTGGTTATACATATATGCATAGAAGTTCTTTGGTTTATCTCATCCCACCCTCCCTCCCCCCTTGCCTTTGAGGTTCGTCAGTCTAACAACCAATTTGTACTTCTATTTATTTATTTATTTAATCCTCACCTGAGGACATTTTTCCATTTTTTGTTCAGATAGAGTGGGAGAGAGAAGAAGAGAGAGAGAGAGAGAGAGAGAGAGAGAGAGAAACATCGACGTGAAGGGACACATTGAGTGGCTGCCACCCACACGACCAACCAGGGCCGGGGACAAACCGCAAACGAGGTACGTGCCCTTAGCGGGAACCGAACCCGGGTCTCTCTGGACCGCAGGCCGACGCTCCAACTGCTGAGCCAAACCGGCCAGGGCCCAATTTGGGCTTCTTAATTCCTTCATCCTTTTCACCCATCCCCCTAGCCCCCTCCCATCTGGCAAGCAACAAAAAGTTCTCTGTATCTGTGAGTCTATTTCTGTTCTGCTTGCTTATTTTGTTTGTAGATTCAATTGTTGATAGATATGTATGTCTTGCCATTTTATTGTTCATATTTTTGTTGTTCTTCAAGGAGGCCCTTCAACATTTTATATAAAACTGGTTTGGTGGTGATAAACTCCTTTAGCTTTTTCTTGTCTGGGAAACTCTTGATATGTTCATTGATTTTTAAATGATAGCTTTGCAGGATAGAGTAATCTTGGTTGTAGGTTGTTGCTTCTCATCACTTTGAATATCTCTTGCCATTCCTTTCTGGCCTGCAAAATTTCTTTTGAAAAATCAGCTGACAGACTTATGGGAGCTCCTTTGTAGGTAACAAACTTTTTTTCTTGCTGCTTTTAAGATATTCTCTTTGTCTTTAACCTTTGGCATTTTGATGATGATGGGTCTTGGTGTGGACCTCTTTTTGTTCATCTTGTTTGGGACTGTTTGTGCTTCCTGGACTTGTATGTCTGTTTCCTTCACCAAGTTAGGGAAGTTTTCTGTCATTATTTTTTCAAATAGGTTTTCAGTTTCTTGCTCTCTCTCTTTCTGGCATCCCCATTATGTGAATGTTGGTGCACTTGAAGTTGTCCCAGAGGCTCCTTACACTGTCCTCATTTTTTGGGATTCTTTGTTCTGATTGGGTGTTTTTTGCTTCCTTATATTCCAAATCGATGGCTTGCTTCTTGGCTTCACCTACTCTACTATTAATTCCCTGTAAATTATTCTTTATTTCAGTTAGTGCATCCTTCATTTCTGACTGGTGTCCTCTTTCACGTTGTTGATGTTCTCACTAAATTCCTTGGCGTACTCCTTAAGTTCCTTGAAGTTCTCACTAAGTTCCTTGAGCATCCTTATAAGCAGTGTTTTGAACTCTGCATCTGATTGATTGTTTATCTCCATTTTGTTTAGTTCTTTTCCTGGAGTTTTGTTCTGTTCTTTCATTTGGGACGTGTTTCTTTGTCTTCTTATTTTGGCTGCTTCCCTGTGTTTGTTTCTATGTATTAGGTAGAATTGCTGTTTTGTAGGCTTCGTGGGGTGGCCTGTTGTAGGTGTCCTGTAGAATCCAGTGGCACAGCCTTCCTGATCACCCCAAGCTGGGCCCTTGAGGTGCACCCCTGGTGTGGACTGTACACCTGTCTGTTGTAACTGAGTCTTGCTTGCTGTTGGCATGTCAGTGGGAGGGATTTACTCAGGCTGATCAGCTGCAAGGACTGGCTGTGCCCACTGACCATTGGCCTCTGACTACCTTGGAGGATCAGCAGTGTAGGGGCCCACCACACAGAGCAAGACTTACTGCAGCAGGGCTCTGGTACCCACTGAGTCCACTCCTTGAGTGTGTCACTTGTGGAGGTGGTTGGGCGGTGGTGCCTCAACGTGGTCTGAAGCTGTCCTCTGGGTGGCCTGGCTCTGGGGCAAGGTCAGCCACTGCCTGTGTTCTACCCGGGGCCACCTGGCATAAGCTACAAAGTTATCTGCCGATGGCTGCTTCTTGTGCTGGGCTTGGAGGTGCCCAGGAAAAGCCAAGTTGTGAACCAAGGCTGGCTGCTTCTAGTGCCAGGCCTGGGGCCACTTAACGAGAGGTAATGGGCTTGCTGAGATCAGATGCTGCTTGTTTGAGAGATTTTAGGAAAATCTGAAGCAGGATCCAAGACAGGCCAATCCTATGGTAAAGCCATTGGAAACAGCTTGGGTGGGCCCGAAAGTTGGGTGGGGCGGGGCCTCAGGGAATCACCAGGGCGGGGCAGCCAGTGTGAGCCAGGTTGCTGGAGTCCCAGATATGGCTCCCCTTTGCCAGCCTCGTGGGGGAAGGGCTCACCAAAGGAACAACTACCTCCACCAGCATGTCTGTCCAGGAGAAAGCTGCCCCTCCAGCTCTCACTCCAATGCCAAACAAATCTCTTTTTTCCCGTATCTCTCTGGTGCCTTTCAAGCTGCCTCCTTAACAATGGAGCCCAGAAGGAGCCAGTCTGAGTTAAGTTCGTGTGTGGGCCCTTTAAGAGGAGCTGCCTGGGGCTTCAGCAGCCTTAGCCTCCCTCAGCCTCAGTTATCACTGTTTTTTACAGCCAGAAGTTACAGAGACTTCTCTTCCTGGTACTGGAACCCTGAGGTGGGCGCCTGGTGTGGGACACGGACCCCTCAGTCCTCATGGAGGACCTTCACAGCCAATGCAGCCTCCTGATTTTTATCTTCCACATGTGGGTGTGGGATCAGCCTGGCCGTGCCTCCGCCCCTCCTACCAGTCTCGATGTGGCTTCTTTAATTTAGTAGTTATAGGACTTCCATTCAGCTTGATTTCAGGCTATTCAGAATGATGGTTGTTCTGTAGTTCAGTTGTAATTTGGATGTGGTTGTGGGCAGAGGCGAGTACCGTGGTTACCTACGCCGCCATCTCAACTGGAAGTCTAGAGAGATTAATTTTGAAAGGACTACTAGGTTCTAAGTGGAGATGTTGAGTTTGATATATGAGTCTGAATTTCAAGAAGCGTCTAATTTTGGGCATTATCAACATTAAGGTGGGGCTTAAAGCTGTGAGACTGGATGGAATTAATACTGGAGTGACTATAGATAGAGAAAAGATCCCAGAACATAGCCCTAGGGCATCACAACATGAAGGGTGGGTTGAGGAGGAGGATTCAGTGAGAGAGATTGAGCATGAGCAGCCAGTGAGATAGAAGGAAAACCAGGAGAGTGGGCTGTTCTGGAAACTTAGGTTGGTCAGATACTGCTGATGGGTTAGTGGGGCGTTTGATGTAATAGCCAAATGTCCAAGTTTATCTGGTGTTAAAGCTTCCCTCAGCTCAGGCCTGGAAATTTGTATTAAGATTGGCCTCTTACTCCAGGTAGTCAGTCTTCTTGGGCAGGATTGGAAAGGGCTTCAGACTGGTGTTCCACTTGGCCTATTCTAGTTCACAAGAGAATGGGAACAGCTCAGCCTGTCTCTCTGCCTCACTGTTTTAGGCTGTGAGCCCAGCTCCCACTTTCAGATTCCTCAGTACACGTCAGATACCAGATGTCCCCTTTGGCCCCTCAGTTCTAGGTAACACTCATCATATTCTGATTGGTCTCCTTGAAACCCCTCTTACTAGGTATATTAATATCCTAGGGCTGCTGTAAGAGATGACCACAAGCTGGGTGGCTTAAAACAACAGAAATTTACCCCTTCTCAGTTCTGAAGGCCAGAAGTATGAAATCAAGTATCTGCAGGGCCATGTTCCCTCCAGAGGCTGTATGGGGTGATTTTTCCTGCCTCTTCCAGCTTCTGGTGGTTCTAGGCATTCCTTGGCTTGTGACCACATCACTCCAGTCTCTGCCACCACCTTCACATGACTTTTCCTCTGTGTCTGTGTCTTCTCCTGTTTTATCTTTTATAAGAGCACGTGCCATTGGATTTAGGGACCATCCTAATCCAGGATGATTTCCTCTCAAGATACTTCACTTAATTACATTTGCAAAGACCGTTTTTCCAAATATAAGGTCATGTCCATAGGTACTTGGGGCCAGGACGGGTACATATCTTGTTGGGGGCCACCATTTAACCCACTATACTCGGTGAGGGGCCAACACCCTCCACTCCTGCTTGGAAATATGTGTATGGGGTAGGATTCCCAGCACAATGACACCTCCCTCAGAAATAATCCTCTCTAATTTCTCCCCTTTGGTGAAATTCTATTTTTTTTTTTTGTTAATTTTCACCTGAGGATATTTTCCCATTGATTATTAGAGAGAGTGGAAGGGAGAGTGGGGAGGGGGGAGAAAGATTGATATGAGAGAGACATATTAATTTGTTGCCTCCCACATGATCTCAACCTTCACTGGGGATGGAACCTGCAACCCAGGTACGTGCCCTTGACAGGGAATCAAACCCGCGACCCTTCAGTCTGCAGGGCAATGCTCTAAGTGCTAAGCCAAATTGGCCAGGCCCCTTTGGTGAAAGTCTTAATTTCAGCTTAAAGCCTGGAGACAGGTGCAAGTTGATAACCAATGCTGAACCATGGCCTTTCCAAGTCCCACATAGGGGCTTGCACCTCTCTTTAGAATGAGAGTATGTCACCTCTTAGACCAAAATGTCCATTTTAACATTATATTACACTAGATAAAGTGCTTGGTATTCTGCTTAAAGCGTGGCCTCAGAACTGCTGCGCAGACTACACTCCTTGTCCTGCAGGGTAAGAGAATTCTACACAAGTCTCGTGTGAAGCCTGTGCTGCCTTTGTCTTCCAGATCTTGACTTGTTGGATGAGCAAGCCCCCCTGGAAGAGTCAGCTGTGTGAGATGGTGCAGCCCAGCGGTGGCCCAGCTGGGGACCAGGACATGCAGGGTGAAGAGTCTTCTCTGGGGAAGCCAGCCATGCTCCACCTGCCTTCGGAGCAGGGTGCTCCTGAGACCTTCCAGCGCTGTCTGGAGGAGAATCAAGAGCTCCGAGGTGAGGACAGTGGGTGTGTGGAGTAAAAACTCAGGGACCCAGCCCTGCTGGGGGAAGGCTTGTTCTACTCACCCGTGCCTCTGCATTTACTGGGTCTGGGGCTACGTCTGAGAGCCAGCTAGTGATTCAAGCTCAGTCACCCTCCTTGGTTTCAGATGGGGTTCCCCGGAAGTATATTGTGAGATGGAGATTATTGTGTAGGAAGTTTCTTTGGAGTGATCTGAGGGCTGACACTGGGGAAGGGAAGGGAAGGACAGGGAAGAAGCAGGGGGTGGGGCAGAGAGAGAAGCTGGGCTGCAGTGCAGGCTGGCCCTACAGGGAACTGGAATGACACCTTCTGAGTTGTCCCAAGCTGGATTAACATGGCCAGGCCTTTATATTTCCATACCGATAAGTCATTAAAGACTAGCTATCCTGGGAAGGACCATGGCATGGGTCTCCTGGGAAAGGGCATGGCCTACTCTGGGAAGGGCCTGTGGAATGCTTTGGGAAAGAGAGAAGTCACAGGCTCCAGGCGGCTCTGTGAAGAGCCCTCAGCTGAAGGCTGTCTTTCAGCAGCCCCCTCCCCGCAAGTGGCTAGGGTTCAAGTTTTTTCCTGGCCATCCTATCCCTGTCTCCATCACAGCCCCTACTTATTCACCCTCCACATCTTCACCTGTATTAGGGGCAGCTTTTCCAGGTCCCAGTGGCTGTTGTACTGTGCTCCTCAGGCAACATGGCTGTCCTTGGGTGCAGTACATCCCACCCTCCCCTGTGTGACAGTGCCCCACTCCTTGTGATCATGCCTCCGGTCTCCAAATCTGGTCCACTGCTCCTTTGGTACTTATGAGTAGCTCCAGGTACCCGGGTGGCATCTCTAGCTTCTAATTCAATGAGACTCTTGTGTTTCTGCTGTGGGGACCTTCTAGACTGTGAGCCCAGAGCTGCAGAGAGGGGCAACACAGACTTCCCAGGTGGGCCATGGGGAGTGGCCCTTTTTGCTTCATCCCTTGGCTTATGTTGGGAACTTAGGGCTTATAAGGTCACAGCTCCTGTGTACACCATATCCTGCAGGATGGTGCCTCATCCTTGCAGAAATTGCCCCCAAGCCAGTGCCTCAGTTGTTTTCGATCAGCCATCCACTATCCTAGTGGACTGGTGGGTTGGCATATAGGGAGTGGCCCTATAACTGTAGAAGCCACAGTTATAGGGCCACTCCCCCACCTATTTTGCTGGATCGTGTGTCCCCTGGTATGATGGGATGTTATGTGGGGCCCTGTGCTGACAAGTCACATGCCCTGTAAGCCTCAGTGAGTGGTCCTGGCTGAGGCCCCGCAGTCAGGGACCAAATCTGTGTCTGGAATATGTGTCTCTTCTTCCTGTCAGGTTGAATTGCCTTCCTTTCCAGGATGGAAGGGGTCCAGCACAGTCATTTTGCCCCCACAGGGGCTGTTTGGTCTTCTGGAGGCCTGGCCTGCTTTAGAGACAGCCCTGCTTCGAGCACAGAGAGTCAATATGACTTGCCTGCCTTTAGGGGAGATTCTTCCACCTCAGCGCTCAGACACCTAGGGGCAGTCCTGGGCACTGCAGGGTATTGAGTAGCATCTCTGGCTTCTACCCACTAGTTGCCAATAGCATCCCTCCAGTTATGACCACCAACAGTGTCCCCAGAGATTGTCAACTGTCTTACTGTGTTGGAGCCATATGGAGCTGGCAGCCAGGTTGGGGGTGGGGAGACAGTTCATCCTCCACAGCTATGTGTGTGGCCTCTGCTTGTCCCCAGGAGAGCACTGTGGCTAGGAGGACTCTGGGATGAAACTGTGGCAGACCATCAACACAGGGAACATGGCAGCCCCTGCTCCCCTACAGGGAGCTCAGGCTCCAGTGGCAGGTGGAGGCCTCATGGCTGCATGGCTTCCATCTCTGCTGCCTGACCCACACTTGTTGAAGTGGGTTGACCACACGTTTCTGCTGAATGGGTGCTGTGTGTCAGGCCCTGGGCCGAACACCTGGGGTCCTGAAGGTGTCTCTCCCCCTTGATGCTCACAATTGTGTCTATGGAGGATGGGGCAGGAGGGAAGACAGATTTTTTTTTTCTTTTTTATCATCACTTGAGGACATTCTTGTATTTGTTTTCAGATAGAGTGGGAGGGCAGAGGGAGGAAGAGAGAGAGAGAAACATTGATGTGAGAGAGACACATTGAGTGGTCACCACCCACATGACCCCAACCAGGGCCGGGACAAACTGCAACCGAGGTACATGCCCTTAGTGGGAACTGAACCCGGGACTCTCCAGTCTGCAGGCTGATGCTCTAACTGTTGAGCCAAAATGGCCAGGGCGGGAAGACATAGATTTTGATGGGAATGCTTTGGGGGAAACTTTATGGAAGAAGTTGCATGTACCTAGTGTAGGAGCCCATTTATTTGACATGTCCAGGAGAGGTGAGCCCAGAGAGAGAAACCGATGAGTGGTTGCCAGGGGTTGGGGGCAGTGGGGAAGTGACTGCCAGTGGGTATGGGGTTTTTTTGTGGGTGATGGAAATATTCTGAAACTAGACAGAGGTGATGGGTGCACAGCTTTGTGAAGACATTAAAACCACTGAATGACTGTATAGTTGATGCTTGAACAACACAGGAGCTAGGGGTGCTGACCCCCGTACAGCTGAAAATCTATGTATAACTTGACTCACAAAAAACTGAACTATAGTCCACCTTCAGTATCCATGGGGGATTGGGTCCAGGACTCTTTCCCACCCTCATGCTAAAATCTACAGATGCTCAATTTCCTTATATAAAAAGGCAGAGAATAATGCATGCAGTAGGCCCTCTGCATCCACTGATTCCTAGCCACCAATAAAAAACACTGGTTCAATTCGAGATTGCTTGAATCTGTGGATGCGAAACCCAGGGATCCTGAGAGCCTACTGTATATTTATTGAAAAAAAACCCACATATAAGCAGACCCCAGCCATTCAAACCCATGTTGGTCAACGGTCAGCTGTACATTACAGTAGTTAAAACAATGAATTTGATGTTCTGTGAATTTTACCTCAAAGAAAAAAAAGAAGTTGTACATGAGCTGAACCTCAGGTTGGGGCTGGGCAGGATTGCATCAGGTGGAGGTTAGTGGGGGAGCAGTGTGCCCTTGGGCAGGAGTCACATGGGGACAGTAGAGTGAAGAAGGTAGCTTTGGAGCCAGGCTCAGAAGCTACTGAAGTTCCAGTGAAAGAATGTCCCATCAGCAGGAACTAGTTAGGTAGTCAAGGGTTTTGACCAGAGTGTGACATGAAGCTACTGCCTGTCCCCATCTTATACAGCTCTGTAGTTGCTAGAACTTTTGCACATCACTGATCAGTTTTGTCACCCCTGACAGTCTTCTGTTATCTGGGGTGTCCCCTGGGTGTTTGGCTCTCCTTTCCATGGCCTCTGCTGATTGTCTGGCATTTGAAAATGCTCATCCTTCAGCCTGGCGAGAGCAGGACTGGCTGTTTCTTGAATTTGTGTTGTGTACCGGGTACTTTGTCTGCTTTTTCATCTAACCCTCCTCATCCTGTGAGATGAGTACGATGGTCCCTGTTGAACATACAGATGAGGACGGTCTCAGAGAGGCAAGCAACTAGTCCACTTCAAGCCTTTTGGCCTTCTCAGGCTGCAGCTAGCAATATCACAGGGAAGTTTACCCTGGTGGCTGTCCCCTGAGTCTGCAGGTAGGTTAGGACCTCCTGATCCCAAAGATAGTGAATGACTGAGTTCTCTAGGGCAGGCATGCCTGTGACCCCACCAGAATACAGATGAGCTCCAGAGTCACTTACAAATAAAGTGACATTTGGTACACATTTCTAAGTGAAGCTGATATGTCCAGTATTTTGTTGGAGAAATTTAGGGGCATGTCATCAACATAATTGATTTTGAAAGTGTTTCATGAAATAAGTGTTTTGAAGCCATCTCTCTGTGTGAGAGGCAGCATAGTATTGTGGGGAGGGCACTGTGATAGGTCCAGGGAGGGGCTGGCAGGCTGACTGCCAGGGCTCACCTCTTCTTTGCTGTCTCCTCTGCTACCAGATGCCATCCGGCAGAGCAACCAGATGCTGAGGGATTGCTGTGAGGAGCTACAGCGTTTTCAAGGCAGCCAGAGGGAGGAGAAGGAGTTCCTCATGCAGAAATTCCAGGATGCCAGGAAACTGGTAGAGAGGCTGAATCTGGAGAAGCTTGACCTGAAGAGGCAGAGGGAGCAGGCCCTGCAGGAGGTGGAACATCTAAAGAGATGCCAACAGGTAGTCAAGGGGGCTGGGCAGACTCTTGCCCAGCAGTGGGTGAGCTACAGGCTCTGGCCACCTGTGCTACCAGCCACATGTGTTCTGAAAATCCACAGGGACATTAGTGTTTCCAGAGGGGTCCCCAAGAGCACTCAGGAGTGGCAGCTACTATGGAAGAGTTACTGCCCAGGGGTCAGGGATGGGGAGGACTGAGTCTGAACCCTGGGCTGGAGCAGCCTGAGGTCACGGGGGAGCTGGGTCTGGACAGTTTGATGAGGGAGATCAGGCAATAGGGAGTTTGGACAACGCTTGAATTTTGTCGCTGGTGGAGGTCTTCTGGAAACAGTGCCAATCCATTTTACCTTCTAGTGGCCCCGGGCCTGTGGAATGGAACATGTACTTTTGTTGCTGTCTTTGTGTGTGGCCTCCCTCAGCATCTAGTCTCAGAGAGGCTGAGAGATTCCTGTGGGGCTCAGTCCCCATGGCCTGGTCAGCAGCCTTAAGAGACTTGAGGCCCCTCTGTGCTCAAGTGTTCCTGAGTCTCATCATGCCCCATCTGCAGAGATGAGGGAGGGGCTTCGGAATATGCACTCATGGGACTCAATCCCTTCCCACTGCCTCAGTTGCCTTGCTGAGGTTGGGAAACTTCTGGAGGTGAGAGGTGAGATGAGTAGAGGTGCCAAGGGAAGGAAAGAAGCCCTCAAGGTGACACGTCTTAGCACTTGGAAGCTGCCCCAGGGTTTGGGACCACCACAGGTGGGCAGCTGATGAGAAAGCATTGCTGACAGAAAGTGGCTTTTTTCATGTAGCAGATGGCTGAGGACAAGGCCTCGGTGAAAGCTCAGGTGACATCTTTGCTGGGGGAGCTCCAGGAGAGCCAGAGTCGTTTGGAGGCTGCCACCAAGGATCGGCAGGCTTTGGAAGGCAGGTGAGTGGGGAGGAAAAGCCCACCTTGGAGGTCTCTGTCAGGCTACCTGAGAAGAATAAGATAGTTTAGGAACCTCTAGGGGTTCCTCTGTGAGAAGACAGACTAGAGAACTTAAGGAGTGAGCACATGGGGTGTTGAGACAGGTGCTTAGCTGAGCTGTGAACCAGGCATCTGGGACCTGGGTCCCAGCAGCACTTCTGAGTTCTCTGACCTTCAGCTGGAGTTTGAATTATTTCCTTAGGGGGCATTTTCAGGGGGTAAGAGCACACCCATGATCCACAGAGAGTCTCTGGAAACACTCCCAGTGCCCTCACGACTGAGATTTATTACAGAGAAAGGGCACACACCAGGACCCGCAAGGACAGAGGCCACGGGTCAGGGGTGGAGAATCCCAGGCTTTAGGCTCCCTCCCACACTCCCCCCATGAGAGGCCTGTTGAGCAGTCTGCCTTCTTTAGCAGCAAAAAATGCATCACTGCAGACCCAGGGAACCCACTTGAGACCCAGCGCCCCGAGTTTTATTGGGGGATGGTTATGTGAACCCCCTGTGCCAGGCACATACCAAATTTCCCAGCTCCCAGAGGAAAGCAGGTGCTCCGCATAAACCACTCTATTGTGCAAAGGGTGCAGGGGCCACCGTTATCAGTAGGGAAAGTGTCATGTCGGCCTAAGGGGCTTGCACCAGCCTACTGTCCAAGTGCCACCTGAGGGCCAACCTTGCAAGTAGCCCTTCCGAAGCTGGTTGCCTCAGGCCTGCCAGTTGCTCTTTTCTGCAAAGAAAGGTTCTCATAAGTGCGATTATTTAGTCAAGGGGCACGGATGTTTCTGTGGTTCCCATGCTACCCAGCTGCTGCCCTCCAGAAGGATGTCCTGCTGACGGGGTGACCCTCGGTCTCCCAGTGCAGTTGGTGATCAGGGTGCATTGGGTGGTGTCAGGGACACCCTTCTGAAAGAGGCTAGAGGAGCATCAGGAGTTTTCCCTGCCCGTCATCAGAGCGATATGGAAGACAATGTGAACACACTTCCATCTAGAAATCTGACTGCTATTGGAAGGAAGGCTGAACCTCGTTATCTCTGGCTCATTGCATTCTGGTGTTTTCTCCTGTACCTCCAGGTACATGTGTTGTTTTTAGGGCAGCTTGGTGTCTTTCTCACTTATCTTTTTTCTGTGCACATAAAAGAAGTTGCTGGAGGGTTGATGCTATCATGGCAGTTTTGCAGCTGACTTGGGTCAGTTAACCACCCTGCAAGGGCGTTTACTCTGGCTATTGCAGCCTCTTTTCCTGTCCCTCCCCCATGTGGTTGAGTGTATAAATGTCAAGCTGGACTGCTCAGGGCACGAAGCCCTGCTTGCATCTCATAATTTGGTGTGACCGTTTAAACAGATTCAAACTTCATACCCATGGCTGCCCTCTGAGCCCCTGACCTGTCACATTGGAATAGCCCTTCCCCTATTTCCAGGGCCCCTGGCAGGCAGCATTTCCATCTGGTGATGATGATAACAGCACTGAACTTTATCCAATCACAGATGGAAATGTGTGTTCAATATATTTAGATGGGTGTGGAAACATAGACCAGTGAAAACCCCCAGTGACCTCCCCCCACCCAGAAACACTTACCGTTGCCCTCAGAATGGGGACTATGGAAGGCCTCAGGACAGCAGGATGACTTGGCTGGGACCTGGGACTGGAGATTTAGGGAGATATGCGTGGAGATTGGGGGCCTTGGGGTGATACAGGGCCTGGATCAGAAGACGGGGCTGTGGGGCATCTAGGGGAGAAGAGACGAGCTGTTACAGCTGGAGTATAGAGGGAAAGAGGAATTCTCTACTGAGGCTATTGCTGTCTCCCAGGCAGGCAGGCAGGCAGGTGGCTGTCCTTACAGGTGTGGATGTTTGGATCTCCAAATGAGCCTTTGAGGTGGGCAGGTCACCTCCTTGTCACTTCTAGAACAGTGACTAGGAGGGAAAGAGTTGCCTGAGCACACCGACCCTGCTCCCCCTTCAGCTGCCCCACTCCATTTCTTACCTTACCCACCCCTTCTAAAAGGCTTATCTTTGCTGGCTACCTCCACTTCCATTCTTCTCAATCTCTCCTGACCCCTCCACTGAGACTGCTCTGGCTAGGGCCCCCAGCACCCACCTGTTGGAACCTGACGGGTGCTTCCTGGGAACTCATCTCCCCTAGCCCTAGCGGTGTCCTCTTTTGGGATCACCTCCTTTATCTTTTTTTTTTTTTAATCTTCACCCGAGGACATATTTTTCCATTGTTTGTTCAGATAGAGTGGGAGGGAGAGAGAGGAAGAGAGAAAGAGAGAAACATCGACGTGAAAGGGACACATCGAGTGGCTGCCACCCACATGATCAACCAGGGCCGGGGACAAACTACAACCGAGGTACGTGCCCTTAGCGGGAACCAAAGCCGGGTCTCTCTGGACTGAAGGCCGATGCTCTAACCGCTGAGCCAAACTGGCCAGGGCTCACCTCCTTTATCTTTGAAGGGGTTTCCATAATGGATGTCACCAGCCTGAACCTGAGCCCCAGGTCTTTTTGCCACCTGCACTCGGTTGCTGGTCGGGCCCCTGCATTGACACAGGCATGTTGCTGCTAACCTGTGCCCTGTAGTTGTCCCTGTCTCCAGTGACAGTGCCTCCCCCTTTCTCACGCTGTTGGCTCTGCATTGACAGGATGTTCTGAACCACGATGCCTCCCCTCCCAGTGCCTATCCTCTCCCCTCAGACTGCACAGCTTCTAGTGCTTTCTGGCTCCCACCTTCCTTTTGCTGGCAGTCCTTCTCAGCACAGCAGGGATCCTGTGAGCACCCTTGCTCCTGCTGGGGCCCTATTGTAATCTCCCCGTTCCCCCACACCAGGGTCCGGGCAGCCAGTGAGCAGGCCCGGCAGCTGGAGAGTGAGCGGGAGGCGCTGCAGCAGCAGCACAGCGTGCAGGTGGACCAGTTGCGCATGCAGAACCAGAGCATGGAGGCTGCCCTGCGCATGGAGCGCCAGGCTGCCTCAGAGGAGAAGTGAGTGGGTGCCCGACATGGGAGGGGTGGACACCAGAGGGCTGTTGGTGGCTTTCTACCTTTGTGGGAGCCCTTCTAGGGACTGCCTGTGGCTTAGGGCTGGATTCAGTCCCTTACCTGATCACATCAAGATGATTCATCTTTGAAATGATAACATTCTCCATTCTCCAGTCCACGTTCAGACTCCACCGTTTGGCCCACCTGTTAACAGCATCTGGTCCAGGATCCTTCATTCCTTTTGTTGGCATGCCTTTGAATAGTCCTGCCTTTCTATGTTTTACATGAAGTTAACTTTTAAAGAATGCAGGAGAGTTCCATTTTATTATAAACATTTTTTTTCATACTTCAAAATATGTTAGTTTTAAGGAAAATGATATTAACTGTTTAGCTAAGCATGCCTTGGAGCTGATGGCCTTTAAAGCACAAATGCACTCTGGGACCCCTATTTGGGTTTGTGGGAAGGAAGAAAGAGGGTGGAGTTGGAAGCAGGAAAAGCTGTGGCTAGTCCAGGACAAGGTGGATTCTCCAGCGAAAGCTCCTCTTTCTTAGGCGGAAGCTGGCGCAGCTGCAGGTAGCCTATCACCAGCTCTTCCAAGATTATGACAACCATATCAAGAGCAGCATGGTGAGCAGTGAGCGAAACCGAGTGAGTATGGCAGAGATATCCCTGGGACTGCCTAGGACTGAGCTGGCCCTGGTTCCTCTCCCATGGGGTTTGCTCTCCCAAATTTGGGGATATTGGCTTTTGGGAGGGATACTCGACTTGTCCTAGAGTTTTGTCAAGGCTGCAGTGTGGTGGCTCAGGGCAGGCTACAGGGAGATGGGGACACTTGGGCTGTGCTGCTTGCTGCCTGTGGTGGACTGGGCTGGGTCCTCTGGCTAGCCATTACCAGTTTGGCTCCTGGCTTAGATTTCCCTGAGAATGTTTCCATCCCACTGTTAAAGTCGGCTGGGAGCCCTTTTCTAGTTTGTCCTTATTACACCTGTATTGGGTTCAGTTTCTAGTGATCACATTTTAAGAAGGAGCTCGTCAAACATGAAAGCACACAGAAGAGACCTATAAGGGTAAAGCCTGAAACTGGCTACACAGGAAGAGTAAATTACAAAACTGTGGCCTTTTAATCTTCAGAGGGAAGGCTGGGTAGTGTGTGCGTGTATCTGTGTTGGTGTCTGTGTGAATGCATCTGTGCATGTGTCTATTTTTATGTGTGTCTGTGTGTGTGCGTTTGCATGCCCATGTATTTGTACTATGAGTGCATTTGTGTATGTGTTTCTGTGTCTGAGTGCGTGTGCCTGTGTGTGAGTACATGTGTAAGTGTATGTGTGTGTATATCTGTATGTGGGGTGTCTGTGAGGGATCAGCAGACCTTTGACCAAGTGGCAGGGTGGAAAGACTGATGGGTTTCTACTTAGCGGGCATGTGGTAGAGTGTTAGTTTGGCAGACCAGCTCAGCGTGGAGCAGGCAGCCTCAGGAGGGAGTAGGGAGTATGGCCCCTGTCCTTTGAAGGGTTGGAGGAGAGCTGTATAGCTGGGGATTCTGGGAAGGGAATGTTGGCTCAGGTGGGAGGTTGTGCCAGATGACATCAGAGGTCCTCTGTAGCCTCCACCTTTCCTGTGCCCTGCATACACTGACATCTTGTGGTTGGCAGGCCAGCTGGGTCCGATCTTTTCTCCTCTTGTTTCTTCTCGCCTGAAGTAGCAGCCAGCCTGGGGGTGGCATGACCTCAGCCCTGGGCCAGCTTGGCTTTGTCAGCTTCCCCTCGCTCATCCCTAGGGAATGCAGCTGGAAGATCTTAAGCAGCAGCTCCAACAGGCTGAGGAGGCCCTGGTGGCTAAACAGGAAGTGATTGACAAGCTGAAAGAAGAGGCTGAGCAGCACAAGATTGTGATGGAGACTGTACCGGTGCTGAAGGCCCAGGTCAGGGCTCTCTGTGGTCTACATGTGGGTGAGCAGACCAGGCCCACTGGTGCTAGCACCTGGCATGTCTCTGGTGTCATTTTGCAGTGACTTCTTGGAAGCTCTTAAGCCCCTTGCACTGTTCCTTGACCTCTCAGTGCATTTGGGGTGATTCTGTGCCATGGGCTGTGGGAGGGTGGGAATGGGCTCTGCCTTACCCTCTGGTGCCCCACATGGAGTGTCCAATGAGTGGTTGACAGCTGTTGGGCACATTCTCCTCTCTTGGCTTTGCCAGGCGGATATCTATGAGGCAGATTTCCAGGCTGAGAGGCAGGCCCGGGAGAAGCTGGCGGAGAAGAAGGAGCTCCTGCAAGAGCAGCTGGAGCAGCTGCAGCGGGAGTATAGCAGGTTAAAGGCCAGCTGTCAGGAGTCAGCCAGGTAGGCCTTGGAGCATGTGCCCCACGCAGAGGGGGATGGGTGCTGTGGGGGCTCCGGTAGTAAGCGCAAGAGACTCAGTGCTCCTGGCTTGTTGGTACAGTGAGCTGGCCCTCTGTCTCCCTTTGCCACCCCTGTTCTTCCATCAGCTTTGTATGCACTTGGAGCTTGGCTTGCACGTACTGACTGGATGGTTTCTCTTAAAGGATTGAAGATATGAGGAAGCGGCATGTAGAGGTTTCCCAGCCCCCCTTGGCCCCTGCCCCAGGTGAGTTAGCCGCAGGAGGAGGGTGGGGGAGGGCAGAGTGCTGACAGCATGGGGAGCCTGGGCCGTGGGAGCTTGAATTGGCCACACCTCCTCATCACCCCAGGGTGGGGGATGCTAAAGGGAGGGTGCTAGTGGTAGTGACCCTGGTAGTTGGATCTGATGGTCCCATCAAGTCTTAGTACTTTCTTGTCCCCTCCCCTCCCTGCAGTTCGTGCTGTAACTGGTGCCTATTCTTTTTCTGCAGCCCACCAGTCATTTCACCCTGTCTTGTCCAGCCAGAGGAGAAGCCCCCCAGAAGAGCCACCTGACTTCTGTTGCCCCAAGTGCCAGTATCAAGCACCTGATATGGACACCCTGCAGATACATGTCATGGAGTGCATTCAGTAGGGCTGCCTGCCAGTGACCAGCCCAGGACAGTGCAGTCTGTGCTTTCCTCTCCTGCCTGCCTAGTCCTGAATTACAGGCTAGGTGACGAAGAGCAGGCCACTTCTTTGAGCCCCAAGAGCTAGCTGCAGAGACTTAAGCTTTAGCTTCCTCGCCTGCTGGTTTGCCTCTTTTAGGGTATATGGAGTCCCAGCTAGGCCTGATGCTCTGCTCTTTTTGTTCGTTTTGTCTGCTTGAACCACTTGCCTCTTGGGCTCCCTCTTCCACCTCCATGGGGAAGTCAAGAATCAAGGCCAGGGCTCTCAGAAAGAAATGCTTTCCCAGCCCGAGATGGGAGGGGGCTCTTCTGGCCCATCTCTAGCACACTGTGGTGTTGGTGCGCTCATGGGTCGTATGCTATTCCACTGGAGGCTGCACCATGGCATTTGCATTGTTGCTAGTCTTCTTATTGTCATAAATAACGCCACAGTGAAAATCCATGTTCATCGATCATGTGTCTTTGGGTCAGATTCTTAGAAGTGGTCACACCGAGCATCAGCAAATGGGATAGGTGGTGCAGGTGCCCTCCCAGTGTGGTTTCCTGTTCTCCTCTGCTACCCCATAGCATTGCCCCATTGAGGGGTGTTAACCTGTGGGCTTTTGCCTTCCACTAGGCATGTAGTTCTCTATTAAAAGTGAGCTTGAGCACCTTTTAGAGATTCAGGGGTCCTTTTCCATTCTGGTGTGAATGGCTTATTTATATTTTTTGCCTAATTTTCTCTTGGGCCATTAGTCTTTTGTTCCTCGGTCTGTAGGAGCTCTTTGGTCAATAGTGGGATCAGTGCCTCTGTGTGGTGGAAGTTGCAGTGATCTACTGTGACTTTGTGCCAGAGTGTTTTGGACTTCAAGTTTGTTATCTTTGTGTAGTCACATTTACACACCTTTCCTTCACTGCTTTGGGTTTGGAGTTGTAGCCACCTCATGGTCTGACAGCTGGGATGCTTCCCACAACACCAAAGCATGCTCTTGTCCTCCTGAGACAGTTACCACCCAGGGTGAGTGGTGGTGGCCACATTTCATCATATTCCAGAAGTCCGTGGTGCTGTTCCTTGCACCAGCCCCAAATGCCCTGGCTTTGCCAATGGAAATCACTTGGCAGTGATTGGCAGATTATGAACATCAGAGGATTCTTGCTTGTTATTTTGCAGGATTCTGAATATTTCCTAGGATGTCAAAGCCATGGGCATTAACCCTGCAATGTTGTAAAAAAAAAAAAAAAGTGCTTTGGAAGTGGAGGAAGAATACATATAATTTACTCTTTGGTACCCTGGCCGTTGATCTTGCCTTCCTCCAAGCTCCCCTGGGTAGGAATGGGATGTTGCAAGTCCATCCCTGGGCTTTCTCACAGGGTTTTCTGCTACTTGACAGTGAGAGGTCTGACTGGAAGTGGGATCTAAGTTTAGTGTTGTAAAATGGCCAGCAGCCCATTCTGAAAACAAGCCTGGACAGGGGAGTTTCTTGGCATCTCCAGGAGTTGGAGTGACTTTTATTTCCTGAAGCCCAATGTCTAAATGCAGATTGTACTTGAGGAAAAAATTAAAGGCACAGTTAGATACTGTATTTCAATCCTAATTCTGCAGTTTTTCTCAAGAGCACTTTTAGTTTTTTGGAGATGTATGTTTCCCATGGCTACTGTAACAAATGACCACAAACATGGTGGTTTAAAACACCAGGAATTTGCCCTGGCCAGGTGGCTCAGTTGGTTGGAGCATCATCCTGTGCACCAAAAAGTTATGGGTTTGATTCCTGGTCAGGGCACATACCTGGGTTGTGGGTTCGATCCCTGGTCAAGGCGTGTATGGGAGGCAACCGATTGATGTTTCTCTCCCTTCCTGTCTCTCTAAAAATCAATAAAAACATCTTTGGGCAAGAATGAAAAAAAAAACCAACCCAACACATACCTGGAATTTAATCTCTCACAGTTTTGGAGGCCAGAAGTCTGAAATCCAGCTGTGGGTAGGGTTAGTTCCTTCTGAAGAATCAGTTTTAGGCTTTTCTCCCAGCTTCTGGTGGCAGCCCTTGGTGTTCCTTGGCTGGTAGACATGTCACTCAACTCGGCCTCCGTGTTTGCATGGCCTCTTCTCTGACTGTGTCTTCTGTCTCTTAAAAGGACACAAGTAATTGGATTTAGGACCCACCTATGCCATCCAGGAGGATCTCATCTCAAGATGCTTACCTTCATTACACAAAGACCCTTTTTCCAAATAAGGTCACATTCACAAGTTCTGGGAGTCAGGATATGTGCGTATCTTTTGAGGACACCATTCAAATTCAGTATGGGGGCATCTGTAGTTCACAGATTAGGACAAGTGCAGTCACACACAGGTGTCTCCAGGACCTGCAGCTACGTGAGGGCATGTTCCCCAGGGTGAGGGTGGCCACTGGGCTGCAGAGGTACATGTTGCTCTATGGCGAGGAAAGCTGGAGTTTGGTGCAGGGCAGGCCCTTGCAGGCATGGGACTATTGTTCCTTAGGACACCTCATCTCCAGCTGGTCATGACTGCTGGAGCCAGCAGATGTAGGTGGGAGAAGGGGTAGGCTGCAGGACGGTGGAGCTGTTAGACCACCTATGCCCTGGGTGATGGCTACTAGCTGTCTAGGGATGGACTTTGTGCTTCTAACATGGTGAACAAAGGCACATAGGAGCCCTTCTCTGACCAGCTCCCTCTTCTGAAAGGGGGTTGAAAGAAAGAAGGTTAGATAGGAACAGTGAGAGGTGGGCATTCTCTTCCTGGGCAACTTTCCTCAGGCTCTGGTGGCACCCACGTGGGCCACACAGTGGCAGTTTGGAGCTTTACAAACGTTTTGCGTGGGCCCTGGACCACCTGAGTCAGGGTCTGGCCATGGCACTGGGCAGTGGTTGAGAACTGCAGCTCTTTTGAACCTTGTCTTCTACCTCTTTCCTTCCGTAGGGCCAACTCTATATTCCACATGAGATTTTAAACCAGGCTGTTTGCCCAGAAGAGAGGGATTCTATTTTCTTCCTTTCTGGCTTTACTTAGATTGGGCTTTTGGAACAAATAGGATTCTTACTGTGAGGGAAGTAGCCTGCCTGGCTGCCCTATTAGCTGTGGCCCCTTGATTCTCATGACTGTGGTTTTGGGAGGTAGAGATAGCTAGAAGCACATCCTGCCAGAATCTGTTGTTCCCCGTTGCTCACACACGCGGCCCCTGTTACCTGCTGCTCAATGCTCAAGAGAAATCCAGATGGCCACTAAAATAAGCACAATAAGAAAGCATTTCCCTTACACTAGTAACAAAAACAACACAAGACTCCCAACAAAACAAAAAATAATTTCAAAGCGCAACAAACGAAGACTTCTGGTGCCCTGCTGGCAAGGTGCAGGGGACAGGCCTGTGCGGAAAAGTAGGGCAGAACGGAACATCCTCAACCTGTTTAACTGTAAGAGACAGTCAGGTCCACACAGTGACTTTGGCATTGCAGAGGTAGTCACTGCACCATCATTTGTAGTCGTCAAAAGTCGTGGAGAAAGAGGCTACACTTTTAGACCACATGGGCCTGCGCAGCCTGCGTTGGACCATCTTGCAATATGGAATACACTCGAGCATGTTGGTGTGAAAAAGCCAGTAGACAAAATTATGTACAAGGTGTGACCTCAATAAAAAGTGAAAGCTGCAGATGCATACCCTGCTACCATTTGGGTGGGAAAATGGTATTGTTATTGTACTTTTTAAAAGAACAAGGCCTATTCTCTTAGGGATACAAACCAGTACTTATGTATGAAATTATATGCTGCTTTATTAAGTGAGCTGTGAGATCATTCACAATTTTTCTATATAAAAGTTTATATAACATTAGGAATATCTGCTCTTTGAATGCTTGGTAAAACTGCTTTGACCTAATGGATTTCATGTGGGTGGGGGTAAATTTTAAACCAATTCAATTTCCTTGAAATTCAATTTAGTTGTACTCAGGATTTTTGTTTCTTGAGTAAGTTATATTTTCCTAGCATAATGTTCAGTTAATCACTTTTCAAATTTACTGCAATGAATTTATCCTATCATGTAAAAATCTCTGCTATACCTGTATTACATACTTTTCACTCCTAACATTTCTATTCATAACGTCTAACTTTTAAAAATGCAATCTTTGCCCTGGCCAGTTTGGCCCAGCAGTTAGAGCGTCGGCCTGCGGTCCAGAGAGACCCGGGTTCGGTTCCCACTAAGGGCATGTACCTCAGTTGCAGTTTGTCCCTGGCCCTGGTTGGTCGTGCGGGTGGCAGCCACTTGATGTGTCCCTTTCACATCTATGTCTCTCTCTCTCTCTCTCTCTCTCTCTCTCTCTCTCTCTCTCTCTCTCTCTTCCTTTCTCTCCCTCCCACTCTATCTGAACACAAAAAATGGAAAAATGTCCTCGGGTGAGGATTAAAAAAAAAATGCAATCTTTCCAGATGTTTGCCTAGCTTTTTTTCTCTTTTCAAAGATGTCTTGGGAATCCTTTTAAAAATGTTCCTTAATTTCTATATTAATTTTCTTAATTCTCATTTTAAAATATTCTATCTAATTTCTCTGGGTTTACCTAGCTCTCTTTTTGTAATGCATAGACTTGGAGGCTTAGCTCATTTCTTTTTACTCTTTGTTTGTTTTTTACTTATTTACTCTAAGCCTTCAAAGCTTTAAATTCCACTCCCAGAACCACTTAGGCCACATTCAACAAGTTTTCATAATCCTCTCTATGGGATCAACTTCAAGAAGTGCCATCTTGTTCATCCTGGAAGGAGGTGGGTAAAAGTGTATATATACTCTGGTTAATGAGGAGTGTATGATAGTTTTTATTCAGGTAGGTAGGACTGGGAAGGAATAAGACAGGAGGATTGATAGCAAGGCAGGCTAGGGAAGTGGTATATAAATGGACTTTCAAGTCCATGAAGTGTGGAAATGAGCATTCCTTGTGAGTATTTATCAACATGTATCCACTGCAGAAGAGGCTTGCAATAACCAGTTGTCAAAGATGACCAGCTGGCTCTGTGGATGGCAGCTTATTTGTCATTCTGCTGCAGGCAGCAAGTTTTCTTCTATGGAATAGATGCTTTTTGGGTATATGGATCTGCCCTTCCCACCACCATGGTTTTGTTAGCAATACTATTCATGGACATATTAAAGTCTAATTCAACAACACAACCTCCCACACAAAAGTTCTAATGAAATGCATTTGAGACTTAGCTAAGCTATTGTGCTTGTACTATTAAACCAACAAGCAAAAGGAGAGTTGTGTTGGCTCGGATGATGAATCCTGATTATCAAGAATTTCTGCTACATAAGTCAGAGAAAAATGTTTGAGACCCACAGTTTTGGTCTGCTGGTACTGCTATAAACTGGAAAATTTAGAAGAATATGGCAGCCACGCCTTATGGATAGGACCAGGAAAGTCTCCGCCCATTAAGAATGAAGGCTTAGGTCACCTTACCTGATAAAGGATCATAATTAGCTGTACATGGATTGGATAACAGAAGAAAAATAAGAAATATTAATTATGGTGTATCATAAGTTTAAAACCTCATATTTTTTGTTCCCTCAACATCCCCCAAAATTGCACACAGGCAATTCACCAAGACAACCAGGTGTACCAGTGGGGTAAGGTTGGCCCCTGCCACAGGTTCCCATTCTAACTCACCCCTTACATCACCTTGAGCTTTTTGTTGTGTACTCAACCCTGACTCCCAATAAAGTTCCTTGCCTACCCCAGTCCTGACTTCCTCTCTATTCCCAACAGGCTTGGTTGAGGCCACACCCTTGCTGTTCTACCCCATGTAACCCCTTGGCATGCAGTGCAGTTCCTCTGACTCTCTGGAAACTGTGAGTATAATCAAAGTTTTATTTTCGTTTTCTTTTGTTTCCTGTGCCTTTCCTGTATCCCCTCTTGTGGCTGTACTTTAGCAACCATCAAATAAAAAACACCAAGCATACGGCTGTATGTGTAACTGCAGAAATGAGGACTGCAGTAATTCATGCCTACTTTACTTCATTGTTATTTGGCACATATTTTCATTTGTATTAGCTAATTTTCTCTATTTCCTACAAAGAACTTCCAGGATGCAGCAAAACAATGTTTATAAGACATTCCATAAATCTGTTCTGTTTTTTTTTTTTTAAACTGAGAATGCTGCTTTTATTAGAGTTCTTTTTAAAAAATTAATTTATTTTTGTTACAGGTATTTCTCCATTTCCCCCCAATGACACCCTCTTCCAGATCCTGCCCACCCCCAGCACTGTTGTCTATGTCCATTGGTTTTGCATATATGCATATAAGTTCTTTGGTTTATCTCTTCTCTCCCTCCAGCCGTCCTCCTCTGAGGCTTGTCAGTCTAAACCCTACTTCTATGTCTCTGGGTCTATTTTGTTTATCAGTTTATTTTGTTCATTATATTCCACAAATAAGTGAGATTATGTGATACTTGTCTTTCTCTGGCTTATTTTGCTTACCATAATACTCTCCAGTTTCCTCCATGTCATCTTATCCTTCCAAGTATAAGAGATCTTTTTTTCTTACACCTATTATGTATATGTACCACAGCTTTTTCTCTTTTTTAATTTAAATTTTTTTTTTCATTTATCTTTAGATAGAGTGCTAGGGAGATAGGGAGGAAGAGAGAGAGAGAAACATTGATGTGAGAGGGACACATCAACTGGTTGCCACCCGCACAACCCCAACCGGGGCCAGGGACGAACCACAACCAAGGTATAAGCCCTTAGTGGGAACCGAACCCCGGACTCTCTGGTCCATGGGCTGATACTCTAACCGCTGAGCCAAACTGGCCAGGGCTTACCACAGATTTTTATCCATTCATCTATTGATGGACACTTGGGCTGTTTCCAGATCTTAGCTATTGTAAATAGTGCTGCTACGAACATAGGGCTGCATATATTCTTTATGATTGGTGTTTTAGGCTTCTTAACATATATTCCTAAAAGTGGGATCACTGGGTAAAATGGCAGTTCCATTTTTAATTTTTTGAGGAAACACCATATTGTTTTTCATAGTGACTGCACCAGTCTGCATTCCCACCAGCAGTGTACTAGGGTTCTCTTTTTTCAACACCCTCCCAACATTTATTGTTTGATGATTTATTGATGGCCACCATTCTGGCAGGTATGAGGTGATACCTCATTGTTGTTTTACTTTGGATCTCTCTGATGATTAGTGATGTTGAGCATTTCTTCATATGTCTCTTGGCCATTTGAATGTCCTGTTTGGAGAGGTGTCTATTTAGTTCTGCTGCCCATTTTTTAATTGGGTTCTTTGTCTTCTTTTTGTGGAGTTGTATGGGCACTCTATATATATTGGAAATTAACCCCATATATGATATCATTGGCAATGATGCTCTCCCATACAGTGGGTAGCCTTTCTGTTTTGATGATTGTATCTTTTGCTGTGCAGAAAGCTTTTGAGTTTGATGTAGTCCCATGTGTTCATTTTCTCCTTTGTTTCCATTGCCTTAGGTGATGTATCAGTGAAAATTCTGCTGCGTGTGATGTCTGAAATTTTGTTGCCTACAGTTTCTTCTAGGATTTTTATGGATTCATGAGTCACATTTAAGTCTTTTATCCATTTTGAGTGTATGGTGTAAGTTGATGGTCTAGTTTCATATTTCTGCATGTAGCTGTCCAATTTTCCCAGCACCATTTATTAAAGAGGCTGTCTTTAGTCCACTGTATGCTCTTGCCACCTTTGTCAAATATTAATTGAGCATAATGTCTTGGGTCAATTTCAGGGTTCTCTGTTCTGTTCCAGTGGTCTCTATGCCTGTTCTTGTGCCAGTACCAGGCTGTTTTGATTACAGTAGCTTTGTAGTATAACCTGATATCTGGTATTGTGATCCCACCTACTTTGTCCTTCTTTTTCAAGATTGCTGTGGCTATTCGGGGTCTTTTTTGGTTCCATATGGGCTTTTGAAGTATTTGTTCTAGTTCTGTGATGTGTGTCATTGGTATTTTGATGGGGATTGCATTGAATCTATAGATTGCTTTGGGTAGTATGGACATTTTAATGATGTTAATTCTTCCAATCCATGAACAAGGTATGTGCTTCCACTTTTTTATATCTTCCTCTATTTCTTTTTTCAAGGTCCTGTGGTTTTCTGCAAATAGGTCCTTTATTTCTTTGGTTAAGTTTAATCCTAGGTATCTTAATTTTTTTTGCTGTGATGGTAAATGGGATTGTTTTTTCAGTTTCTCTTTCTGTGAGTTCATCATTTGTGTATAAGAATGCCATCGATTTCTTGACGTTAATTTTGTATCCTGCTACTTTGGCAAATTTATTTATTAAGTCTAGTAGTTTTTTTGATGGAGTCTTTAGGGTTTTCTATGTATAATATCTTGCCATCTGCAAATAATGACAGTTTCATTTCCTCCTTTCCAATTTGGATCCCTTTTATTTTTTCTTCCTGTCTGATTGCTGTGGCTATGACTTCCAGTACTATGTTAAATAAGAGTGGTGAAAGTGGGCATCCTTGTCTTGTTCCTGTTCTTAAGGGAAATGCTTTTAGTTTTTGCCCGTTGAATATGATGTTGGCGGTTGGCGGTGGGCAGGACCGGAGGGAGGGTGAGTGTGAGAGAGAGTGAGCTAGTGTGTGACTGTGAGTGGATGTGAAGGTGGATGACCAAACCCAAGCACTGCAGAAACGTGGAGCAGAAGGTTTCTGTGCTGTTGATGGGAGCAGCCAGCTACTGCTGTAAGAGGCTCCTCTGGGCACGTCTCCCTGCGCCGCGGGGAGATCTCACCATTTTGGAAGATCCCGTGTCTTCCCTGGGAGGAGGCATTGGGAGCGGCTAGAGCCCAGCAATCTGAGCCAACCAGCGCACCTGGCACCATTGGACCAGTGGACACTCTGTATCAACGCAGATGATGCACAGTAGTGGTGATCCCAAGGTGCCGGTCGTGGAAGCCGTGGACAGCTGGGAGCCCAGCACCATCCACCATAGTAGCACCCCAATCAGAGTCCAGATATACCCCAGCAACAGAGGCTGGGGAGTAGACATCCATCCCCAGGCAACAGAAGCACACACCAGCAGCTGAGACCCATCCCCCAAAACTACAGCAAAAGCTGAGCAGGAGTTGAGCCCCACTGGGCAGCAGCACTCCCCAGCTGCCAGAAGCGGGACCTGGGGATCCACAGAGGCCTGTGTGGTCCAGTAATCCACAACAGCAGTAGGAAGCAGGAGCCTACTGGACTCTAGATGCTCCCAATAATGGGTGTTATTTAGCTACCTACCCGTGGGAACTGCAAAGTGCGGGGGCAACAGAGAGTCCTGTGTGACCCAGCTGCGCACAAGATAGGCGTAGAGGATGTGAAAATGAAGGTGGAGTGAATAGAAGCTACACAGACGATCTCCCAGTACCAAATGAGAATTACAACCAAAATAAAGACAAATCCTCGGAAAAAAAGCAACAGAAAAGGAGCAGGACAGGACCATATAACCAGGGACACTGGTAGGATCTGTGGAGTCATGAGAGGGTGGTGGGCTGGGAGCCCACAGACAGTAGCAGTCTTAGCTGTGAGCAGCACCCTTGGGGAATAAAAACCAAGCCGGCTCCACAGCACAGAGCTGGGACAGAGTGCTAAAATAGCCACAGCCCCTCACCTGCGGGCTACAGCAGAGGAAAGGCAGACTGGGCTGAAACTCAGTGGAAACAACTGGGATTTGGAGGGCACTCAGGGTTTTTGCTGAGTTGTAGTCACAAAGGATGGTGGCCAGTGTGCTCCTTCCCAGAGCTGTGGGGAAAAGCAGCAGCCCCCCCATCCTCAGATATTCAGCCTTTCCCAGGTGAGGCAAAGTAATGCAAATTGAGGTTCATTAACAGCCAGCATCAATCCCATCCTCTGGAAATCCTCTTATGCAGAACACCAGGGCTACATTCCAAGGCACTGAGTATCTGAGACTACTAGCCTCCAGGAAAAAGATAGAGGATAACTGAACCTTTCCTGGGATTGCAAATCTACCCAGGAAAGTAAGACTTGACAGTGGTGTTTAACGTGGACCTGTCCAGGTCCATCCAAACTCAGTAGAGGGAGCCACAAACAGCAGAACACCAACACCAACAGAGAAAAGTTGGCAGTCTCCAAAACCCACTGAGATAGTCAAAATGGTGAAACAAGGAAACAAATCCCAAATGAAAGAACAAGAGAACTCTATAAGATGGGATAAATGAAATGCACTTAAGCAAATTATCAGAGGTAGAGTTTAGAGCCATGATCTTGAGGAGGCTCAACAACATGAATAAGGACATCAGCACCATGAGTAAAGATATAGAAACATTGAAAACCAACCAAGTGGCAATGAAGAATGACATAGCAGAAATAAAGAACACATTGGAAGGACTAACCAGCAGAGTAGAGGAAGCTGAAAACCACATCAGTGAATTAGAAGACAGGGTAGAAAAACCAATCAGATCAACCAATCAGAAAACCAAAACAACAAAACGATTGAAAAACAGGAAGACAGCTTAAGAGAACTGTGGGACAACTGGAAACGGAATAATATTCGCATCATAGGAGTCACCGAAGAAAAAGAAAATAAGCAAGGGTTAGAGAATATATTCAAAGAAATAGTGACAGAAAACTTCCCTAACTTGGAGAAGGAAGAAGGCATTCAAGTTCAAGAAGCACAGAGAGCCCCAAGTAAGAAGAACCCAAACAGGCCCACACCAAGACACATAGTAATTAAAATGCTAAAAATTAAAGACAAAGAGAGAATCCTAAAGGCAGCAAGAGATATGCAACAGGATACCTACAAAGGAAACCCCATAAGGCTTTCAGCTGACTTCTCAACAGAAACACTACAGGCCAGAAGGGAATGGCACAAAGTAATCAAGGTCATGAAAAATAAGGATCTGAATCCAAGACTACTCTATCCAGCAGGGCTATCATTCAAAATAGAAGGCCAAATAAAGAGCTTCTCAGAAAAAAAAAGGCTAAGGGAATACATTAACACCAAACTAGCACAGCAAGATATGCTAAAAAAAACTGCTGTAATTAGTAGAAGAAGTAGAAAGTAAAATAGGACCACGCTAAACAAAAATGTCAATAAATAAGTACATATCAATTATCCCCTTAAATGTGAATGGTTTGAATGCTCCGATAAAAAGAGACAGAGTAGCTGACTGGATAAGAAAGCATGTCGTGCCCTGGCCGGTTTGCCTCAGCGGTTAGAGTGTTGGCCTGTGGTCGGGAGAGACCCAGGTTTGGCTCCCGCTAAGGGCGTGTGCCTCAGTTGCAGTTTGTCCCCGGCCCTGGTTGGGTTGTGTGGGAGGCAGCCACTTGATGTGTCCCTTTCACATCGATGTTTCTCTCTCTGTCTCTCTCTCCCTCCCTCCCACTCTATCTGAACAAAATATCGAAAAATGTCCTCGGGTGAGGATAACAATAAATAAAATAAAATAAAATAAAAAAAAAAGAAAGCATGACGCACATATATATTGTTTACAAGAGACCCACCTCACAACTAAAGACTCACATAGGTTGAAAGTGAAGGGATGGAAAAAATCTTCCAAGCAAACGGAAAGGAAAAAAAAGCTGGAGTAGCAATACTCATATCTGATAAAGTAGATTTCAAAATGAAGGCCATAACTAGAGGTAAAGAAGGCCACTACATAATATTAAAAGGATCTATCCAACAGGAAGATATAACCTTGGTAAATATAGATACACCCTATATAGGAGCACCAGCATATATTAAAACTCTTCTGGAGGACTTCAGAGGAGAAATCAACAGCAACACAATCATAGCAGGGGACTTCAACACTCCACTCACATCACTGGATAGATCTTCTAGACAAAAAATTAACAAGGAAACACAGACTCTAAATGAAGCACTCGATCTAATAAATTTAATAGATATCTACAGAGAATTACACCCCAAAACAACAGAATTCACATTCTTCTCAAGTGCACATGGGACATTCTCAAAGATAGACCACATGTTAGGGCACAAACTAAGTCTTTACATGTTCAAGAAGATTGAAATCATATCCAGCATCTTTTCAGATCACAATGCCATGCAACTAGAAATCAATTGCAACAAGAACATGCCAAGACATTTGAAAACATGAAGGCTAAATGGCATGCTATTGAACAATGAGTGGGTTACCATGGAGATCAAGGAAGAAATTAAAAATTTTCTGGAAACCAATGAAAATGAACACAAAACAACACAAAATCTATGGGATGCAGCAAAAGCAGTTCTGAGAGGGAAGTTCATAGCACTACAGGCCTACCTCAAGAAACAAGAACAATTTTTAATTGACTGTCTAACCTCACAACTTAAAGAACTAGAAAGCAAAGAAAAAGAGAACCCCAGAACAAATAGAAGGAAGGAAATAGTAAAGATCAGAGCAAAAATAAATGACACAGACACCAAAAAAACAAACAAAGAAACAAACAAAAAAAACCCCAAAAAACAAAAACAAAAAACCCCCCCAAAAACCAATTCAAAGTATCAATGAAACAAAGAGCTGGTTCTTTGAAAAGATAAACAAGATTGATGGATGCTTAGCTAGACTGACCAAGAAACAAAGAGAGAGAACCTTAATACACAAAATCAGAAATGAAAGAGGAGAAATAATAACTGACACCACTGAAGTACAAGGATCATTAACAAATATTATGAACAATTATACGTCAAGAAATTCGACAATCTAAGCAAAATAGACCAATTTCTAGAAACACATGGTCTGCCAAAACTGGACTGGGAAGAGGTAGAAAACTTGAACAGACCAATAACAACAAAAGAAATAGAAGATGTAATCAAGACTCTCCCAGCAAATAAAAGCCTAGGCCTGAACGGCTTCACAGGGGAATTTTACTGAACATTCAAAGAAGAACTAATACCCATTCTCCTCAAACTATTTCAAAAAAGTCAAGAAGAAGGAAGACTTCCAAACTCGTTTTATGAGGCCAGCATAATTCCAATTCAAAAACCAGAAAAAGACATACAAAGAAAGAAAATTACAGGCCAACATCCCTGATGAACATAGACGCCAAAATCCTGAACAAAATACTAGCATATCGGATCCAGCAAAACAAAAAAATTATTCACCATGACCAAGTGGGGTTCATCCCAGGGATGCAAGGCTGGTACAATATTCGCAAATCAGTAAGTGTGATACACCACATAAACAAAATGTAAGAGAAAAATCATATGATCATATCAAAAGACACTGAAAAAGCATTCGACAAAATCCAGCACCCAGTTCTGATAAAAGTGCTCAGCAATGTGGGAATAGAGGGATCATATCTTGACACAATAAAGGCCATATATAAAAGACCTACATCCAACATCATACTCAATGGGCAAAAATTAAAAGCATGTTTCTTAAGAACAGGAACAAGACAAGGATGCCCACTTTTGCCACTCTTACTTAACATAGTACTGGAAGTCTTAGCCACAGCAACCAGTCAGGAAGCAAAAAAAAGGGATCCAAATCGGAAAGGAGGAAGTGAAACTGTCATTAATCACAGAGGACATAATACTATATGTAGAAAACCTCAAAGACTCCATCAAAAATTCACTAGACTTAATAAATGAATTTGGCAAAGTAGCATTCTTATACACCAATGATGTACTCACAGAAAGAGAAACTGAAAAAACAATCCCATTTACCATTGCGGCAAAAAAATTAAGATACCTAGGAATAAACTTAACCAAAGAAATAAAGGACCTATTTGCAGAAAACCACAGGATGTTGAAAAAAGAAATAGAGGAAGATATAAAAAAGTGGAAGCACATACCTTGTTCATGGATTGGAAGAATTAACATCATTAAAATGTCCATACTACCCAAAGCAATCTATAGATTCAATGCAATCCCCATCAAAATACCAATGACACACATCACAGAACTAGAACAAATACTTCAAAAGTTCATGTGGAAACAAAACAGATCTTGAATAGCCACAGCAATATTGAAAAAGAAGAGCAAAGTAGGAGGCATCACATTTCAAGATTTCAGGTTATACTACAAAGCCACTGTAATCAAAACAGCCTGGTACTGGCACTAGAACAGGCATAGAGACCAGTGGAACAGAACAGAGAACCTAGAAATTTACCCAAGGCAATATGCTCAGTTAATATTTGACAAAGGTGGCAAGAGCATACAGTGGAGTAAAGGCAGTCTCTTTAATAAATGGTGTTGGGCCCTGGCCAGTTTGGCTCAGCAATTGAGCATCGACTTGTGGACCAGAGAGTCCCAGGTTTGGTTCCTGCTAGGGGCACATACCACAAAAATATAAAAAATAAAAATAAATGGTGTTGGAAACATTGGACAGCTACATGCAAAAAACTGAAACTAGACCATTAACTTACATCATACTCAAGAATAAACTCAAAATGGAGTAAAGACTTAAATGTGACTCATGAATCCATAAAAATTCTAGAAGTAACTGTAGGCAACAAATTTCAGACATCACACGCAACAGAATTTTCACTGATACATCACCTAAGGCAACAGAAACAAAGGAGAAAATAAAAACGTGGGATTACATCAAACTCAAAAGCTTCTGTGCAGCAAAAGAAACAACCACCAAAATGGAAAGGCAACCCATTGTATGGGAGACCAGCATTGTCAATGATATATCAGATAAGGGGTTAATTTCCAATATATATAAAGTGCTCATACAGCTCAACAAAAGGAAGACAAAGAACCCAGTTAAAAAATGGGCAGCGGAACTAAATAGACACCTCTCCAGAGAGGACATTCAAATGGCTAAGAGACATATGATGAAATACTCAACATCACTATTCATCAGAGAGATGTAAATTAAAACAACAATGAGGTATCACCTCATACCTGTCAGAATGGCCGCCATCAACAAATCTTCAAACAGCAAGTCTTGGTGAGGTGTGGAGAAAAGTGGACTCTAGTACACTGCTGGTGGGAATGCACACTGGTGCAGCCACTATGGAAAACACTATGGTGTTACCTCAAAAAATTAAAAGTTGAACTTCCATTTACCCCAGTGATCCCACTTCTAGGAATATACCCTAAGAAGCCTGAAACACCAATCAGAAAAAATATATGTACCCCTATGTTTGTAGCAGCACTATTTACAATAGCTAAGATATGGAAACAGCCCAAATGTCCATCAATAGACGAATGGATTAAAAAGCTGTGGTACATTTACACAGTGGAGTACTATGCAGCTGTAAGAAAGATCTCTCATCCTTTGAGATGACATGGAGGGACCTGGAAATTATTATCCTAAGCGAAACAAGCCAAGCAGAGAAGGACAAATATCACATGATCTCATTTATTTGTGGAATATAATGAACGTAGCAATCTAAGGAACAGTGTAGTTCCAGAGACGTGGAAGTGGGGTACAGACTGACAATCCCCAGAAGAGGGGGTGGGGGGAGAGATAAACCACAAAACTTATATGCATGTATGCATGAACAATGGACATGGATAACAAAGCTGGGGACAGGGCGGGGAGGGAGGAGGAAGAGGGGATTATTGGGGGAAAAAAGAGAAACATTTGTAACAAAAATAAATGTATTAATTAAATAAAAAATATATTCTTTATCTTTAATGTTTGCTATTTTAATTATGATGTGTCTACCTGTGGGTGTTTTTAGGTTTATTTTGCTTGGTCTGTCTGTGTTTCCTGGACTTGTGTGACTTTTTCCTTCAAATTAGGTAAGTTTTCTGTGATTATTTCTTTAGACAGGTTCTCTCTTTTTTTCTCCAATTATTCTTTTTCTTGTACCCCTGTGATGCAAATGTTGTGATGTTCTGTAGTGTCCCAAAACTCCCTTAATGTCTCCTGCTTTTTAATTTTTCTTTCCATTTGCTGCTTTATTTGGGTGTTTTTTTTTTTTTCTGTCTTGTCTTGTAACTCACTGATTTGTTCTCCAGTGGCTCCTGGTCCACTTGGTAGAAGCATCCTGACAACTTGCACAATGGTAGATGGCTGCTCCCCTGTCCACAGTGCAGGAACCCTCTGTCCTACATTTCTGCACTGCTTGTGGTTCCTCATCTACAGTCATATCCACTCACTCTCTCACACTCACTCACACTTATACAGTCACCCTCACTCCAGTGGTTCTTGCCATCATCTTTCCTTTTTTTAAACTCATTTTTATTGTTGAATGTATTACAGATGTCCCCCCCTTTTTTTCCATTGACCCCCCTCCTCCCCAATCCCACCCCCTCCTGCCTTCCCCACATTATAGTTGGGGTCCATTGGTTATGTATATATGCACAGAAGTTCTTTGGTTTACCTCATCCTGCCCTCTCTCCCGTTTCTTTTGAGGTTCTTCAGTCTAGCAACTAAATTGTACTTTTTAAAAAAAAAATCTTTATTGTTGAATGTAGAATGTATTACAGATGTTCCTCATTTTTCCCTCATTGACCCCCTCCTCCCCACTCCCGGCCCCCTCCCGCCTTTCCCCACACTATTGTCTGTGTCCATTGGTTATCCATATAAGTTCTTTGGTTTATTTCTTCCCACCTCCCAACCCCTTTCCCTTTGAAGTTTGTCAGTCTAGCAATGAATTTGTACTTCTTAATCCCTTCACCGTTTTCACCCAACCCCCCTCCCATCTGGCAACCAACAAAATGTTCTCTGTATCTATGAGAATGTTTCTGTTCTACCTGTTCATTTTGTTTGTAGATTCCACTGTTAATAGATATGTATTCATTGCCATTTTGTTTGTTCATATATTTTATCTATTTCTTCAAAAAGACCCTTCATCATTTCATATAATAATGGTTTGGTGGTGATGAACTCTAACTTTTTCTTTCTGGGAAACTGTTTATATGGCCATCGATTCTAAATGACAGCTTTGCAGGATAGAGTAATCTTGGTTGTAGGTTATTGCTTTTCATCACTCTGAATATTTCTTGCCACTCCCTTCTGGCCTGCAAAGTTTCTTTTGAGAAATCAGCTGACAGCCTTATGGGAACTCCCTTGTAGGTAACTAACTGCTTTTCTCTTGCTGCTTTTAAGATTCTCTCTTTGTCTTGAACCTTTTGCATTTTGATGATGATGTGTCTTGGTGTGGACCTCTTGGGTTTCATCTTATTTGGGACTCTCTGTGCTTTCTGGACTTGTATGTCTGTTTCCTTCACCAAGTTAGGAAAGTTTTCTGCCATTATTGTTTCAAACAGGTTTTCAGTTTCTTGTTCTCGCTCTTCTCCTTCTGGCACCCCCAAGATGTGAATGTTGGCACGCTTGAAGTTGTTCCTGAGGCTCCTTACACTATCCTCATTTTTTTGGATTCTTTTTTCTTTTTGCTGTTCTGATTGGGCATTTTTTGCTTCCTTATATTCCAAGTCGATGGTTTGCTTCTTGGATTTACATACTCTACTATTGAATCTGTGTAAATTATTCTTTATTTCATTTAATGCCTCCTTCATTTCTGACTGTGCATCCATCATTTCTGACTGGTCCTTTATTATGCTCTTGAGGCCCTCACTAAGTTCAGTGAGGTTCTCACTGAGTTCATTGAGCATCCTTATAAGCAGTATTTTGAACTCAGCATCTGTTAGGTTGCTTATCTCCATTTCACTTAGTTCTTTTCTTGGGGTTTTGTTCTGTTCTCTCATTTGGGACTTATTTCTTTGTCTCCTCATTTTGGCTGCCTCTCTTTGTTTGTTTCTGTGTATTACTTAATGAGAGGTATGGGGCTCGCTGAGACCAGATGCTGCTCATTTGAAAGAATTTAGGAAAAACCTGAAGCAGGATCCAAGACAGGCCAATCCTATGGTTAAGCAAGTGGCAACAGCTTGGGTGGGCCTGAAAGTTGGGTGGGGCAGGGCTTCAGGGAGTCACCAGGGTGGGGCTACCAGTGTGAGCCAGGTTGCTGGAGTCCCAGTTATGGTGACTGTCTGCCGCCCCAGGGAAGGGCTCATGAAAGGAACAAAGGCCTGTGACAGCATGTTTGTCCCGAAGAAAGCCCCCTCTCCAGCCCTGGCTCCAGTGCCAAACAGCTCAGTTCTTCCCTGTATGTCTCTGGCGCCCCTCGAGCTGCCTCCCCTCCAAGCTTAGAGGGAGAGAGTTCGATAAGTCCGTGCGCGGGCCCTTTAAGGAGCGGCCTGGGGCTCCAACCGCGTCAGCCTCCCTGAGCCTCAGTTCCCGCTGGTTTTTTCCAGCAAGAAGTTATGGGGACTTCTCTTCCTGGCACTGGAACCCTGAGTGGGGCACCTGGTGTGGGACGGGGACCCCTCAGTCCTCAGGAAGGACCTTCCCAGCCCAGGTGTCCTCCTGATTTTTATCCACCACACGTGGGTGTGGGACCAGCCCGTCCGCCTCTGCCCCTCGCGCCTTAGTCTCTCCTACCAGTCTCAATGTGGCTGTTGCTTTAATCCCGTAGTTGTAGGACTTCCATTCAGCTTGATTTCAGGTGGTTTTGAGTGATGGTTGTTCTGTAGTTTAGTTGTAACTTTGATGTGGTTGTGGGAGGACGTGATACCATGTTTACCTACACCGCCATCTTGACCGGAAGTCTAAATTGTACTTCTTAATTCCTTCATCTTTTTTACCCATCCCCAAACCCCTGCCCATCTAGCAAGCAACAGAAAGTTCTCTGTATCTATGAGTATGTTTCTGTTCTTCTTGCTCATTTTGTTTGTAGATTCAACCGTTGATAGACATGTATAAATTGCCATTTTATTGTTCATATTTTTGTTCTTCTCCTTCAAGAAGACCCTTCAACATTTTATATAATACTGGTTTGGTGGTGATGAACTCCTTTTTTTCTTGTCTGGGAAATTCTTGATCTGCCCATCGATTCTAAATGACAGCTTTGCAGGATAGAGTAATCTTGGTTGTAGATTGTTGCTTTTCATCACCTTGAATATCTCTTGCTACTTCTTTCTGGCCTGCAAAATTTCTTTGAGAAATCAGCTGACAGTCTTATGGGAACTCCTTTATAGGTAACAAACTGCTTTTCTTTTGCTTCTTTTAAGATTCTCTCTTTGTCTTTAACCTTAGGCATTTTGATGATTATGTGTCTGGGTGTGGACTTCTTGGTGTTCATCTTGTTTGGGGCTCTCTGTGCTTCCTGGACTTGTATGTCTGTTTCCTTCACCAAATTAGGGAAGTTGTCTGTCATTATTTTTTCAAATAAGTTTTCGATTCCTTGCTCTCTATCTTCTCCTTCTGGCACTCTCATGATGTGATTGTTGGTATGCTTGAAGTTGTCCTAGAGGCTCCTTACACTTTCCTCATTTTTTGGATTTCTTTTTCTTTTTGCTATTCTTCTTCTTCTTATTATTTTATTTGCTTCCTTATATTCCAAATCAATGGTTTGCTTTTTGGCTTTACTTACTCTGCTATTGATTCCCTGTAAATTATTTTTTATTTCAGTTAGTGCATCCTTATTTTCTGATTGGTCCTTTTTTATATTGTTGATGTTCTCACGAAGTTCCTTGGAGGTCTTAAGTTCCTTGAAGGTCTCATTAAGTTCCTTGAATGTCTCACCAAATTCTTTGAGCAAACTTATAACCTGTGTTTTTTTTTTTTATTTTTTACATTTGTAAAAACAATTGTAGTCATCCTGGACAGTATTTTATTGTGGTTTTAAATATTATATTATATTTATTTATTTATTTATTTTATTTTTGTTACAGATGTTTCTCCTTTTTTACCCCATTGACACCCTCCTCCCTATCCCCCCCACTCTGTCCCTGGCTTTGTTGTCCATGTACATTGGTTATGCGTACCTGCATATAAGTTCTGTGGTTTATCTCTTCCCTCCCTCCACCACCCCCTCTTCTGAGGGTTGTCAGTCTGTACCCTACTTCCACATCTCTGGGTCTACCTTATTCCTCAGCCTGTTAGGATCATTATATTTCACAAATAAGTGAGATCATGTGGTATTTGTCTTTTTCTGCTTGGCTTGTTTCACTTAGGATAATACTTTCCAGGTCCCTCCACGTTGTCTCAAAGGATAAGAGATCTTTCTTTCTTACAGCTGCATAGTACTCCATTGTGTATATGTACCACAACTTTTTTATCCATTCGTCTGCTGATGGACCCTTAGGCTGTTTCCAGATCTTAGCTATTGTAAATAGTGCTGCTACAAACATGGGGGTACATATATTTTTTCTGATTGGTGTTTCAGGCTTCTTAGGGTATATTCCTAGAAGTGGGATCACTGGGGTAAATGGAAGTTCAACTTTTAATTTTTTGAGGTAACACCATAGTGTTTTCCATAGTGGCTGCACCAGTGTGCATTCCCACCAGCAGTGTACTAGAATCCCTTTTTCTCTACACCTCGCCAAGACTTGCTGTTTGATGATTTGTTGATGGCGGCCATTCTGACAGGTGTGAGGTGATAACTCATTGTTGTTTTAATTTGCATCTCTCTGATGATTAGTGATGTTGAGCATTTCTTCATATGTCTCTTGGCCATTTGTATGTCCTATTCGGAGAGGTGTCTATTTAGTTCCTCTGCCCATGTTTTAATTGGGTTCTTTGTCTTCCTTTTGTTGAATTGTATGAGCACTTTATACATTTTGGAAATTAACCCCTTATCTGATGTATCATTGGCAATGATGGTCTCCCATACAGTGGGTTGCCTTTCATAACCTGTGTTTTGAACTCTGCATCTGATTGATTGCTTATCTCTATTTTGTTTTGTTCTTTTCCTGGAGTTCTTTTCTTTCTTTTGGGACATGTTTCT